TGCCCAGGATGGAGGTCACCCTCCTCCCCCACCTCTAACCACCACTAAAAGCTGGCTTCCAGCTAGCTGTAGGCAGAACCCAGACAAGCAGCTGGTCTTCATTAACTGCAGCTTTTCACCCCCCACTGTGAACCCACAGCTTCTACAGGCCTAGGCTATAGGGGGCTGCCCTAGCCTGACCTTGCAGCTGACACTGGACTGAGGGATGGGGGCTGGGGGACACCACACCAAAGGCCAAGTTACCACCTGAAAAGTCAAGCCAGCTTCCTTTTCCCCATTGGGAACAAGGAAAAGGGGAGAAAGGAGTGTGGGGGTGAGAGTGGAGGTGGGGAATTTAGGGCAAACAGCAGGCAGTGAAGTCAGCTGGATGGAGGCCCAGAAACCCCCACACCCTGGGGCCAAGTCTTACTCTAGCTTTGCTTTCAGCTAGAGTCTTGGCCAGGCCCCAAACTAGGGAAGGCCCTGGCTGCCCCTTTCCGCCTCCCTACCCCCACCCTTATTAAATACACATTTTATCTCTCAGCATCTTCATTATCTTAACTGAAGGAGACAAGCAGTGGATGGCGGCAGCAGAGAGCGGCAGGAGAGGGGGGGCCGGTGTGGGGAGCTAGGCGCACCCTTGTTATAAAATGCTGATCTAGCTCTTCCAGGCAGTGTGGGAAACAGAGGAGGGATCAAAGTGAGTGAGGCTGATTCAGAACTCAATTAGAGCTTAAAAAAAAAAAAAACAACAAAAAACAAAACAACAAAAAAAAAAAACCAGAGCTGGCTCTCCTTTTGCCAGTCTTCAGTCTTTACCCTGCCTCTTGCACTCAATTAGCTTCTACTGCTAGTGCCTTGGGCCTGGAATCAAGGGGAGACCAGAAGGCATACCTTTGCCCAGCTACAGAGGCTGTCTGGAGTGCATACTTCCTTTTTTTTTTTTTTTGTCGGTCGTGGGGCTTGAACTCTGGGCCTGGGCGTTGTCCCTCAGCTCTTCAACTCAAGGCGAGCGCTCTACCACTTGAGCTACAGCATACTTCCTTTTCAGTAAGCCTGGGAGACCACAACTTTCTCCAAAAATGAAAAAGTTAAGCTATCAAAGGCGAGTTCCTTCCCAAATCCTGTTACCTTCAGGCAGTTTCTGGCCAATCTCTAGGGAACACTAGGTAACACTCAGGCAGGCCTCCCCCCTTCCTAGCCTGTAGATCTCACTCCCCAGTGGAAGCTTCCTTGAAGCCACATGGAGGCTGCCTCAAGCAACATCTGACATCAGAGGGAGTGATCTCTATGCAGCTGAGAGGCCAATAAATGCTTACCAACTACGCCAAGACAGTGGGATGAAGTGCCCTCCTTTGCAGAAGCCTGTTCTCCCTCAGTGCAAAAGTACCACGGTTTACCTCCATCTCAGTTCTCAAGAAAGCAGAAAGGCAGCACCTTGCCTGGTTCACTTATCAGTTCACTAAACAGATATTTAGGATACAAATGCAAATAGAGGCTAGCGATATTGCTCAGTAGTGTTTGCCTAATACGTGTGACACCCTGATTCAATGTCCAGTATGGGGGGGAACACCCCAAACCCCCTCAATTATGCCTTTTTCTTCTCCCACAGTAGTCAGGATAATTCCCCTCTCTCCCTGTCTCTATATATACACTCAGATGTAAGTATGTGCCAGTACTAGAGCTTGAACTCAGGACCTTATGCTTTACCCCTTGAGGCACACCTCTACTTCCAACTTTTTGCTGGTTAATTAGGAGATAAATCTCTGAAGTACCTAGGATTATAAACATGAGCCACCAGTGCCTGTGGTCACTACACACACACACACACACACACACACACACACTCACTCAGATCTCAGTTCTGAGTACTTCCAACTTTTTGCTGATTAGGAGATAAATTTCTGAAGTACCTAGGATTATAAACATGAGCCACCAGTGCCTGTGTTCACTATACTAACACACACACACACACTCACTCAGATCTCAGTTCTGAGTAGTTGGGACTGATGCAATTCATATATATATATATATCCCAGAAGCCAGAAGTGGAGCTGTGGCTCAAGTGGTAGACCACTAGCCTTGAGCAAAAAAGCTCAGGGACAGCACTCAGGCCCTAGGACCAACAAAAACAAAACATAAGCCACATCACATCACCACTTCTTGGGTTTTTGTTGTTTTGCCAGTCCTGAGGCTTGAACTCAGGGCCTGGGCACTGTCCCTGAGCTTCTTTTGCTCAAGGCTAGCACTCTACCACTTTGGCCCCAGTTTCACTTTTAGCTTTTTCTGTTCATATGGTACTGAGGAATGCATCAAGCACTCTACTACTGAGCCAGTCCCAACCCCTTGGGTTTTTTTTGTTTTTTGGTCGGTGACACAGCTTTAACTCAGGGCCTGGGGTGTCCCTAAGCTCTTTTGCTCTAAGGTTAATGCTGTACCTCTTTGAGCCAGTTCCACTTCCAATTTTCTGGTGGTTTATTGGAGATAAGAGTCTCACTGACTTTCCTGCCTGGGCTGGCTTTGAATCTCAGCCACCTGAGTAGCTAGGATTACAGGCATGAGACACCAGTGCCTGGCCACTTCTTGGTTCTTATTGTACATCTTAAAAGGGAACTTATTTTTCTGATCTCTGGCTAGCCTGGATCATACACACTCTTGCAGTTAGCTAGCCACAGGTAAGTCTTCCTCAAGCCAGAAATTTCTGTCAACCCGCTCTGGGTTGAAGCTCACAAATTTTATTGGGTTTATGTTCTTTCCACGGCAATACCCAACATTTTATGAATACCCTCCTCCCCCACCCCTCCCCTGCCTTTTTTTTTTTTTCAAAGATAAACCAGGATATAGACACATACCCCACCACCTTCAAAAGGAAGAATGTAGGTCAGTATCTCTGCCACTACTCTGTGTGAAGCGGCCTATGATCCTGGCAAAAACTAGTAACCACAGGCCCATCCCATCCTACTAAAACTCCCACCAGCTTCCCATAGCTCTCAGCTCCAGTGCAGTAAGAACAGCCAGGAAAGGACTCTCTTCCTCCTTTCTTCTCCAGCTGTCTGAATTACACTTAAGACTTTACTGACAAACATATATCAGCTTTTGCTCCCACAAGGGCAGCGGAAGCCAGGCGGGGACTCTAAGTCTGCTTCACGCATCATTGATAGAACCAGCCCTGTTCCGATTGCTACAAGTCTTAAGAGCAGCAATGACCTAGAAATCGAGGGTGTGTGTGGAGGGGGGGTGGGAGAGAGAGCTAAAGGAAAGGAACGAACAAACCAGTACACAGAAAGCCCTATTTCCAAATACCAGGGGAAGGAGAGAGAAAGGAGGTAGAAGGGAAAGAAATTGGGCCCCTTTGAGTCTGCCAATGTGATCTTGGCTGGAAGCCAGAGAGGATACACAGCAGCCCCAGTGCGAGTCAAGCCATGTTACTGACTCAAGCCCTACAGTGAAGAGGAAGGCGCCAAGCCTCAAACACCGCGAGGTGGGGAGGCAGCTCCTTTTTGGGCAGGATCCTACTGTGGACACAGAACAGACAGCAGCTGCCCACAGTGTGGAAACAAACTGTAAAGCAGTCACGTCTCTTAAGGCTGCAGCATCCAATAAAATGTAATTTAAATCAAGCCTCGCATCTGTTCTCAATCCCATTCAGTCTCTGCTTTCTATCAGCCTTCGGACAATCTTTGCAATTACACTGGTTAACCCTTACAGCTCCAGATACTTTCCAACCTTCCTGTTGTAGGTCTGTGTACCCCAATTTGAAAACTGCCCTCAGAAGGAAAGAATAAAGGAATGTGAGGAGAGGGAAAAGGACCTTCAGACTAATGCTTACAGACTCTTGTCTACCACATACATGGGTGGGCAGTGTTCATTTCAGAGGGCTGTTTGCCCTTCTCCCATCCCATACCACCTGCTGTAGCTCAGATCACTTTACAGTGCACAGAATGAATGAAACAGTGGCCAACAGATCACTTGTACGCATATCAAGTTCCCAAACTCCAGGCTGCATCAGAGAAAGGCCAGGAGGCAGCAGAAGAGCTAAAGGAGAAGCAGAGACTCCATCACTGGCTCTCAAACCATTCATATTAATACGTGACTTGTAGCTTAAGCATTTGCTTAATAAAAATACAGCACTTTCCCAAAGTCAAACTTAAGTACCTTTCTGCTCCTTCCCTCAAAATTACCACGCCCCAAGCCCACACCTTCAAAGCAGTGTTATAATGGTGCCCTCTGCTGTTTCTGTCACAAATTGCCACTTCATGCCACTGGAAAACCAAACCCAGGAGTCTTGAGTAGCCATATGGCTTAATTTATCTAGTAAGAGTGGAAAAATATGTGTTCAGATGCAAATCCAACCCTGAACAGAGGCATCTTGAAAGAACAGCTGTAGCTGAAGGCAGCTCAGACTGTGGGAGGAACGGTTTGGGAAAGAATTTTCACACAGTCTTCCGAAAGCCTGATCTCGCTTAAAATATGATTGCTTAAAAAAAAAAAAAAAAAAAGACACCAAAGAACACAACTTGAAAAATAAATACATTCACAATCTGCAGAGTTACATTCTCCTTATCACCTTCAATGTTTCAGGGAGTCCCAGGGAAACTCAATGAATCTTTCAAAGGTCACAGTGTCGGGGCATCTGCAACATAAACCCAGTAAAACTCCAAAGTGAAATACATTCTTGGGTCAAAGTGTCCTTTGTCTTTTGAATATCCTTGTGGATAGTCTTGCTTATTTTTCCGATCATTCTCTTTCATTCTTCTTAACCTAACAAAGTTCTTCTTCACAAAACATACTGTCTGAGAAAACTTCAAGATAAATTATATACACATGTACAACATAAATCTGCGTACTTACAAACATGTTGGTTAAGGGGCAGTAATTTTTTTTTTTTTTTTTCCAGTCATGGGGCTTGAACTCAGGGTCTGGTCACTGTCCCTGAGTTTTCACTCAAGGCTAGCGCTTTACTACTTTGAGCCACAGCACCACTTCTGGCTTTTTCTGTTTATGTGGTACTGAGGGAACCTAGGGCTTCATGCATGGTAGGCAAGCACTCTGCCACTAAGCCACATTCCCAGCCTGTAAATATAACGTAAAAATAACTCAAGTTATTTCTATAGGTTAAAAAAAATCCCAAAGATATTATTCAGTATAATCTTCATGAGCTTATAGATTAAAATTCATTTGTTTCAAGTTAAAAAAAAAGTCGTATTTGTTTTCAGGAAGCTTGAACATATAAAGTACTAAACTGAAGTCTCCATAGCTTACAAAATTGCCAGCTGAATGGTTTCAGGTGGGATGTAAGGAAAAAATTTAAGATAGTCCAGTAGCTAAAATATTTCCAATTAAAGCTTTGTCTTTCAGAGCATGCTCTATTTCATTTTCTTCAATCTTCAAAGACACCTGGAAAGAGAAAAGGATTTTTCATGGCACAGAACTTACACTAAATATCTACCATATTAAACTTTTCGCATGAAGAGGCAGCAGATTAAACACTGCTTTTTTCAATGGCCTTAAAAAGAAAATCTATTCATATCACATGCCCAATCTCCCCACACCGTAAGTTGTATCTACCAGAAAAATTGTTTTGAGGGAAATTTTCATCTTTTTTTTTGGTGTGTGTGTGTTTGTTGGTCCTAGGGCTTGAACTCAGGGCTTGGATGCTGTCCCTGAACGTCTTTTTCTCAAGGCTAGAACTCTACCACTTGAGCCACAGCACCACTTCTAGTTTTCAAGTGGTTACCTGGAGATAACAGTTCTCATGGACTTTCCTGCCCGGGCTGGCTTTGAACTGCAATCTGCAGATCTCAGCCTTCAGAATAGCTAAGATTATAGGTGTGAGTCACTGGTGCCAGATAAATTTTCATCTTTATCAAAAGACAAGCTTTCTAAAACAGGACAACTAAAGATAGGCATGTCACAAAGAAGCAGTTAATGTCAGACATTGGTGGCTCACACCTGTACTTCTAGCTCAAGAGGCTGAGAGCTGAGGATCACAGTTCGAAACCAGCCCAGGCAGGAAAGTCAGTGAGACTCCTATGAAAAAAGCAAAAAGTAGAGCTGTGGGCTCAAGTGGTAGAGCTCTAGCCTTAAGTGAAAAAGCTAAGGGACAGAGACCCGAGTTTGAGACCTAGTACTGGTATATGTGTACACATGTGTGCACGTACACAAGTGCACACACAGAAATAGTTGTACCTTTGTGAAGCGAGTTTCTTTGTTTTTCTTTAATCCTACAATGCCTCTGGACTCCAAGAGTCCTGAAAGTGACAAACACTCTGACTGGTCCACAGCTCCCAACTGCTGTTTCCGACAGACAGTACTGTAGGCTTCATATAGCTAGAAGGAACAGGAAGAAATTATTGCTTAAAAGTTAGATCATTTAACTGAATCCTACTTGTAACAGTTATTACAGAAGCTTAGATTGGGAAGATTGTGATTAGAGGCTACACGAAGTCAGAAAAGTTAGAAAAAAGCAGAACTAGAAGCCTGATTCAATTAGTAGATAGACCAAAAAGAGATGAGTTCAAACCCCAGAACCGCATACATAAAACGTTAGTCTTAATGCAAGGGGAGAAAAAAGCTATCAACACATCTAATCTCTCCCTCTTTTCTTTTTCTTTTTTTTTGGGTCCAGTTGTGGGGCCTGAACTCTGGGCCTGCATGCTGTCCCTCAGCTTTTCAGCTCAAGGCTAGCGCTCTACCACTTGAGCCACAGTGCCACTTCCGGCTTTTTTCTTATGTGGTGCTGAGGAATCGAACCCAGGGCCTCAGGTATGCAAAGCAAGCACTCTACCACTGAGCCACCTTCCCAGCCTCTCTCCCTCTTTTCAATAAAATTCTTGAAGCCAGGTGTTGGTGGCTCACGCCTGTAATACTAGCTACTCAGGAGGCTGAGATTTGAGGACTGCAGTTCAAAGACAGCCCAGGCAGGAAAGTCCCTGAAATTCTTATCTCCAGTCAACCACCAGAAAACCAGAAGTGGTATGTGGCTCAAGTGGTAGAGCACTTGCCTTGAGCTGAAGAGTTCAGGGACAGTGCCCAAAGTCCCAGAGTTCAAGACCCACGACTGACCGAAAAATAAATCAATAGATAAGTAAATAAATAAATTAAATTCTTGAACAGAAATTCCACATTTCTCCAAACTTATACTATAATGCAAGAAGGCTAAAATAGGTGGATCACAGGATTTGGGCACTGTCCCCCAAGCTTCTTTACTCAAGACTAGTGCCTGCCAGGTGCTGGTGGCTCATGCCTGTAATCATAGCTACTCAAGAGGCTCGCAGGCCATGAGTTCAAGTCCCATAACTGACAAAACAAAAACAAAACAACAAAAGCTAGTGTTCAACCACTTGAGTCACTCCACTTCTGGCCTTTTTGCTGGTTACCTAAACACAAAAATCTCCTGGACTTTCCTGCCCAGGCTGGCTTTAAACTGTGATCCTTAGATCTCAACCTCCTGAATAGCTAGGATTATAGGTATTAGCCACCAGAGCCTGACTATAATCTTTTCTTTTTTTGGTTGGTCCTGGGGCTTGAACTCTGGGCCTGGGCACTGTCCCTCAGCTCTTCAGCTCAAGGTAAGCACTCTACCACTTGAGCCACAGTGCCCCTTCTGGTTTTCTGGTGGTTTACTGGAGATAAAGACTCTCACGGACATTCCTGCACAGGATGGCTTTGAACCGTGATCCTCAGATCTCAGACTCCTTAGTAGCTAGGATTACAGGCATGAGCCACCGGCACCCGGCTAAAATCTATTTTTATAGAGTGCCTGCCTAGCAAGCATGAGGCCTCAGTGCAGCCCCTCCCCTCCCAAAATCCATTTTTAATTTCTATCAGCCAGAGCATGATAGGTCTTTCAAAAACATATCTGCATTCCAAGCAGATTCTCATCTCTACCTCAGCTCCATCTGCTTACCTTCCCCAAAGTGACCTCTTTGATTTTCAGCTGCCTGGTCAAGAGCAGCAAAGAGCAAACCAAAATCTTCTGCTGAAGAGGCAGGGACTCTTGAGTTCCTGCTCGGCTCAAAGCCATCCTGTTCCCATCCACTTCGGAAATGACTTGGGCTATGTGAGCAAGACCAACCCGCTTAGGGACTGGAGACTCAGAAGGTGTTTTACCTATAGGGTAAATGCAAAACACTTCATTAGATTTAAATAATATTGCTCAGAAGTGAGGAGAGATAAATGGCATTCAGTTTTAGCTAAAAGAAATTTAAATGCAGTTAACTTGATGGCAAAGCAAGGATTCCAATTCTAACTACGAGTCAAAAGATGAGACAATGATACCTTCAGAAAGATGCCAAAATAATGCAGACTCAACTACTGTAGGAAGTATAAATAGGAAGATCATTATCCACACTAGCCCAGGCAAAAGGGAACACACTTAAAAAATAACCAGAATAGAGCCAGGCACAGGTGGTTCATGCCTGTAATTCTAGCTACATAGGAAGCTGAGATCTGAGGATCGAGGTTCATAGCCAGCCTGGGCAGGAAGGACCGTGAGACTCTTCTCTCCAATAAACTACCAGAAAACCCGAAGTAGCATTGTGGCTCAAGTGGTCTCTACCACTTACCTTGAGCTCTTCAGCTCAAGAATAGGGCCCAGGCCCAGAGTTCAAGCCCAACTTGACAAAAAAAAAAAAAAAAAAAAAAAAAAACCACACACAAACACACAAAACAAACAAACAAAAAACAGAACAGAGCTGGGTGCTGGTGGCTCACACTTGTAATCCTAGCTACTTAGGCGGCTGAGATCTGAGGATCATGGTTCAATGCCAGCCCAGGCAGGAAAGTCTGTGAAACTCTTACCTCCAATAGACCACCAGAAAACCAGAAGTGGCACTGTGACTCAAACTCCCCTTGAGCTGAAAAGCTGAGGGACAGTGCCCAGGCCCAGAGTTCAAGCCCCATGACTGACGAAAAGAAGAAAGAAGAAGAAGAAGAAGGAGAAGGAGGAGAAGGAGAAGGAGAAGGAGGAGAAGGAGAAGGAGAAGAAGAAGAAGGAAGAAGAAGAAGAGGAAGAAGAAGAAGAAGAGAAGAACGGAAAGGGCTGGAACTGTGGCTCAAGAAGTAGAACATAGGGGATGGGAAAGTGGCTCAGCGGTAGAGTGCTTGCCTTGCATGCATGAGGACCTGGCTTCTATTCCTCAGCATCACATAAGCAGAAAAAGCCAGAAGTGGTACTGTGGTTCATGGTAGAGTGCTAGCCTTAAGCTGAAGAGCTGAGGGACATTGCCCAAGCCCAGAGTTCAGGCCCATGACTTTAAAAAAAAAAAAGGGGGGGGGGGGGGAATAACTAGCTCTAATCAAGTCCCAACCAACAGTTGAGAAATGGAGATTAAGAAGAAAGGAAGAAGGCTAGAAGTATAGTTCAGTGTAAGTGTCTGCCTAACACTTAAAAAAGGTTATGGGGGGCTGGGAAGGTGGCTCAGTGGTAGAGCACTTGCCTTGCATGCTCGAGGCCCTGGGTTCGATTCCTCAGCACCACATAAGAAAAAAGCCGGAAGTGGCGCTGTGGCTCAAGTGGTAGAGCGCTAGCCTTGAGCTGAAGAGCTGAGGGACAGCGCCAAGGCCCAGAGTTCAGGCCCCACGACTGGACCCAAAAAAAAAAAAAAGGGTGATGGGGATGGGCTGGGAAGGTGGCTCAGTGGTAGGGCACTTGCCTTGTATGACTGAGGCCCTGGGTTTGATTCCTCAGCACCACATAAGCAAAGAGAAAAAAGCCGGAAGTGGCGCTGTGGCTCAAGTGGTAGAGCGCTAGCCTTGAGCTGAAGAGCTGAGGGACAGCGCCCAGGCCCAGAGTTCAGGCCCCACGACCAGACCCCCCCCACCAAAAAAAAAGTAGAACATATAACTAGCAAACAAAAAGTCCAAGTTCAAACACCAGTACCACATATTTATATATGTATATATGTAAATAAATTACAAAGTTGGATGATTTGAAAGTATGCTTATCTTTGGGGCAGAATAATGATTTTTTTTGGGGTCAGTTTTGGGGGCTTGAACCCTGGGCCTGGGCACTGTCCTTAAGCTCTTCAGCTCAAGGCACGCACTCTACCATTTGAGCCAAAGCCCACTTACGGTTTTCTGGTGATTAACTGGAGATGATTCTTTTTTTTTTTTTTTGGGTCCGGTCGTGAGGCCTGAACTCTGGGCCTGGGCGCTGTCCCTCAGCTCTTCAGCTCAAGGCTAGCACTCTACCACTTGAGCCACAGCGTCACTTCCAGTTTTTTTCTTTTTTGCTTATGTGGTGCTGAGGAATCGAACCCAGGACCTCGAGCATGCAAGGCAAGCGCTCTACCACTGAGCCACCTTCCCAGCCCTGGAGATGATTCTTATGGCCTTTCCTACCTGGGCTGTTAATCCTCAGATCTCAGCCTCCTGAGCAGCTAGGCTTACAGCCATGAGCCACCAGCACCCGGCTATTTTTTTTTTTTTGGCCAGTCCTAGGGCTTGAATTCAGGGCCTGGGCACTGTCGCTGAGCTTCTTTTGTTCAAGGCTAGCACTCTACCACTTTTAGCCACAGACTAGTTCTGGCTTTTTGTTTATGTGGTACTGAGGAATTGAACCCAGGGCTTCATGCATACTAGGCAAGCACTCTACCACTAAGCCACATCTTCAGCCCAATAGTGAGATTTTCCCCCCCTCCCCCTTCTGGCACCAGTATCAAGGGCTTGAACTCAGGCTGTGGGCACTGTCCCTAGGCTTCTTTGTGCTTAAGGCTAGTGCTCTACCACTTAACCCATAGGACCATTTCCAGATTATTCTTAGTAGTTTATTAGAGTTAAGAGTCTCACAGACTTTTCTGCCTGGTCTGGCTTTGAACTGTGATCCTCAGATCTCGGCCTCCTGAGTAGCTGGGATTATAGACATGAGCCACCAGCACATGACTCATTTAGCTTTTGTTTATAGCTAGTAGCGCCCTACTACTCCAGTGTGATATTTGGAGGCAAGAAGGTAAAGGTGACAGGGGGAGAGGGAAGTGGAAGGTGACAGGACAAGGAGCAAAAGGGAGAGGAATTGATTGGAACACATCATATACATGTATAGAAATGTCACAGTGAAATCCTCCCTTGTACCGCTAATGTATACTAATTAAAAAAAAACACCTGAAGCAAAGATAACTGCCTGGTAACTGAGAAAGTGGTGGTGGCAGGGGAGGGGGAGGGGGAGGGGGAGGGAGAGAAAGCGAAGTGCCAATGGCTCATGTCTATAAGCCTTGCTACTTGAGAGATGACTGAGAGAGGATCACAGTTGAGCCTGGGTACAAAAGTTCCCCTTCTCAACCAAGAGTGCCTATCACCCTAAGTATAGCAGGAAGCCTAAGATAGGTAGATCACTGTTCAGGCACATGACTAGATAGGAAGTAAGCCCCTATCTCCAAAGTAAAACATAATCAAAAAGAGACAAATGTGGCTTAGTCGTAGAGTTCCTGCCCAAGAAGCATAAGGCCCTGAGTTCAAACTCTACTACCTTCACTCCCTCAAAAAGGGTTCGAAAGAAGAGTTAGAAAAAGAACCTAGTATTCCAAAGGAGGGGATAAATGTGGCCATTCAAGTCAGTCCCACAAGTCCTCCAGATGGCCTCCTCAAATGACCTTTCAGGTTTGGTTTACTTGCCCAGGCTGATCTGCAGGAGAGCAACACTTGAGAGAAAATGTCACTGGATATCCTAGCAGATAGCATCCTCACAAAGGCAGGAGCTTGGGAAGCTGCCAACCAGCTACAGAGACTATGGCCTTATTGTTTGCAGAAGCATGACTATAGAGACAGAGGAGGAACCCGCTCTGTAACAACCTTTGCCTGAAGTTACTTCCTGAGACCATCTGCAGTTGCCCTACAACAATTTGCTTCTATTTTGTTACCACAAAGGGGAAGCTGCAGAGGACTAATGGAGATACCAGAGCTTACAGATCAACTACCGGAATCTTCACATGGAAAGGAATTTACAGGCCTGTTGGTACTCTATCCAAATGCCAAGTCCCTAACTCCAACCTGTGGCCATCTGCTGAGCTTTTCTTTGCATATCTTCAATGCTGGGGAATCCACTACATGTTTCAAAGAACCCCAGTTACTTCTATGTACTAGACAATTCCCTCATGTTTAGTCAAGTGTCCCCATAGTTTTGTAGAGCCATTAAAAGGCAATCCTGTTGGGTGCTAGTGGCTCATGCCTGTAATCCTAGCTACTCAGGAGGCTGCAATCTGAGGGTCATAGTTCAAAGCCAATCCCAGGCAGGAAAGTCTGAGAGACTCCAAATAACTACCAGAAAACAGGAAGTGGCACTGTAGCTCAATGTGGTAGAGCACTATCTCTGAGCAAAAAGAGCTCAGGGACAACTCCCAGGCCCTGAGTTTAAGCTCCATGACGAAAGAAAGAAAGAAAGAAAGAAAGAAAGAAAGAAAGAAAGAAAGAAAGAAAGAAAGAAAGAAAGAAAGAAAGAAAGAAAGAAAGAAAGAAAGAAAGAAAGAAAGAAAGAAAGAAAGGAAGGACAGGCAATCCTACAGTCAAAGAGATAGGAATTAAAATCAGCCTAGCCCCAGAGTTCAGACCCCACGAACAGACCCCCCCCCCCAAAAAAAAACACAAAAAAAAACCCCACAAAAAATAAAATCAGCCTAGACCAATAATTTATGTTAGGACCTTAGAACCTCTCTCAGTGATGTATGCCAGCAATGCTCAGAGGGACTACTGACAAGTTTTTTTTTGTGTGCACTGGGACTTGAATTCAGGGCCTCATACTCTCACTTAGCTTTTCTCCTCAAGGCAGGCACTCTACCACTTGAGCCACACCTCTACTTCTGGCATTTTAATTGGAGTCTCTCTCTCTCTCTCTCTCTGCCAGTCCTAGGGCTTGAACTCAGGACCTGGGCACTGTCTCTGAACTTCTGTTGCTCTAGGCTAGCACTCTACCACTTTCAGCCACAGTGCCAATTCCAGCCTCTTCGATTTATGGTGTTACTGAGGAATTGAACCCAGGGCTTCATGCATGCTAGGCAAGCACTCTACCACTAAGCCACATTCCCAGCCTGGAGATAAGAGTTTCTTGGATTTGTCTGCTCAGGTTGGCTTCAAATCATGATCCTCAGATCTTAGTTCCTGAACAGCTAAGATTACAGATGAGAGCCACCAATATCTGACTACTGACAAGTTTAATTGCTACTCGTAGGGAAAGAGATGGTGAGGCCATAATCTAAAAAAGTTGAAGAAAAGGAAGCAGGGCACTGATAGCTCATGCCAGTAATCCTACCTACTCAAAAGGCTGAGATCTAAGTATCGTGGTTCAAAGCAAGCCCAGGCAAGAAAGTCCATGAGATTCCCATCTCTAACCAACAAATAAAGTTCAAGGACAGCACCAAGGCCCTAAATTCAAGCCCTGGGACGGACGGACGGACACACACACAGACACACGCGCGTGTGCGCGAGAAAAAAAAGTTGAAGAGGAAACTAGTAGGTATGTATTTCCTATCTTCAGCCTTAGGACCATTTTTGGCTTCTTCTGGAATATTTCATTTTCTTACCTAGGTGCCAATGGCTTACACCTGGAATCTTAGCTACTTAAGAGGCTGAGACCTGAGGATCATGATTTGAATCTAGTCTGGGCTGGAAAGTCTGTGACACTCTTATCTCCAATAAGAAACTACTCAGAAAAAGCAGGAAGTGGTGCTGTTGTGGCTCAAGTGGTAGAGTGAAAAAACAAAAAACAAAAAAACTCAGGAATAGCACCCAGGCCCAGAAAAAAGAAGTTACTTTCTTTTAATAAGCTAATAAAAAAGAGAAAGCACTTTAAGCAGAACCACAATGCTAGAAACAATCAAGTCAGACCATACTGTTTCCAAAGATAAACACTGCATATTAAACATGAATGAAGGGGCTGGGAAGGTGGCTCAGTGGTAGAGCGCTTGCCTTGCATGCCTGAGGCCCTGGGTTCAATTCCTCAGCTACCACATAAGCAAAAAGAAAAAAGCTGGAAGTGGTGCTGTGGCTCAGGTGGTAGAGCGCTAGCCTTGAGCTGAAGAGCTGAGGGACAGCGCCCAGGCCCAGAGTTCAGGCCCACTACCGGACCCCCCCCCCCCAAAAACAAAAACAAAAACAAAAAACAAAAAAAAAACCATGAATGAAATATGTAGTTCATGGCTATTTTACACATGTCACAGCTGTAAGAACAAGGCCAAGGGAAAAGAAAAACAAAATCTATCACTTGTGATAACCTTTGGTTTGCTGTAGCAATCTGCTCTCTGTACCTCCGAACTTTCCTAAGCTTGTTTAATGGACTGAGATATTCCAAGATAAAGTCACAATTCTTATTTATCAGGCTTTGCTTTCCCTTTTATGGAGACCTAAAAGGACTCAATATAAACACTGAGGAAGAAGCGGACCCAACTTTCCTGTCTTGTTTTCATTCCTAGAGCTTGGAAAGAAGAACTTTCTCCCTGCCATTTATGTAACACCTGGGAGAAGTCGTTTCCATGGACCATTGTAGAGGCACGTTAAGACAAAAGTGTCTAGACACACACAACACACATACACACGCAGGCCCAGATGCATGCGCGCGCGCTCTCTGAGACATACCCAGACAGACAGACACACAGATGAATATAATTATATTCATTTCATCTTTTTATTTGGAAAAGCACACTTCCAATTATAAAAGAAAACAGGAAGGTGATAAAACTACTTACATTCAGACAGGGGTTTGAGGATAGTCTGGCTTTTGACATCCGACTCTACAATTTCAATAGCTCTCCTAATAAAAAACAAAAAATTCTAAAATTAATTTGGTCTAAGCCAGACTGAACATTACACGTAGCCACCAAACTCAAAAAGTTTGGTCTATCAACTAAAAACATGTTTAAAGTTAAAAAAAAAAAAAAGTTAAAAATCCCTAAACAAACTGGATTATGTCTCAGTGTAAGGAGACTTAATTGCCTTAATATAATTTATGGACTTGGAATTTGAGATATTTCAACACCACATGGTTTCCTCTTATACATGCCAAGTAGATTGTCATCCATGGAGTCAATAACATTCTGGATGAGAAAAGTATTAGTAGGAGAGGAGAACATGATATATGAGTGAGTCACTAGGAGAATGAACACACCATCTATACACGAACACACCATCTATACACAGCAGACCAACAAAGGCCTCCTCACTCAGGGCCATATACAGGTTCACTCATGCCAGCCTATGTAAGTACTGCTCATGGCTACAGTCTTTTTTTTTTTTTTTTTTTTGTCAGTGGTAAGGCCTGGGCGCTATCCCTGAGCTGTTTTTGCTCAAGGATAACACTCTACCACATTGAGCCTACTTTTGGTTTTCTGGTGGTTAACTGGAGATAACTCAGGACTTCTGGGCTGGCTTTGAACCTTGATCTTCAGATCTCAGCCTTCTGAATAGCTAGGAATACAGGTGTGAACCACCAGTGTCCAGCTATGGCTACAGTCTTCCTTTCTTCCTTTCTCTCTCTCTGTCTTTCTCACTTGCTTTCTTTCTTTCTTTTTGTTGGTTGTGGGGCTTGAACTCTGGGTCTGGGTACTGTCCTTAAGCTCTTCAGCTCAAGATAAGTGCTCTACCTCTTGAGCCACAGTGTCACTTTCAGTTTTCTGGTGCTTTTTTTTTTTTGTCGGTCGTGGGACTTGAACTCTGGGCCTGGGCATTGTCCCTCAGCTCTTCAGCTCAAGGTGAGCGCTCTACCACTTGAGCTACAGCGCCACTTCCGGTTTTCTGGTGGTTTATTGGAGATAGGAGTCTCACGGTCTCTCCTGCCTGGGCTGGCTTTGAACCGCGATCCTCAGATCTCAGCCTCCTGAGTAGCTAGGATTACAGGCGTGAGCCACCAGCACCGGCTCTGGTGCTTAACTGGAGATAAGAGTCTCATGGAATTTCCTGCCTGGGCTGTCTTTGAACCACGATCCTCAGTTCTCAGCCTCCTGAGTAGCTAGAACTACAGGCTATGAGCCACTGGCACCCTGCTTATAGTCTTTCTTTGCTCAAGGAGTTTGCATACTAGAGGAAACTTTCAAATTGAGGACCGTGCAAACTAGCACTAGGAAGAGCTTACTCTCCTACTGCTCTCTCCAAAGTGCTTTGCTCACAGGAAGCCAACAGCAAGACCTAGATCTTCTGCCTGGCAAGAGGGAGAGGTTGGACCAGCAGGCCAACACAGCAAGTATCATTTTAATGGACCCAGCGTCCCTACTGGGAGGGAAGAAATTTCATCAGTTAGCACAGAGGCTTTCCCCAGCAGGAGGGGTTGAAGGATGGAAAGAAGAAAGAGGTCTAGAGTAAGACTTGGAGGACCACCAACTGGAAGCAAGAAGGGGTGCCCACAAAAGGAAAGGAAGAGGAAAAAAGTCTGAAGGCAAAGATGGTTCAGGTCCATAAATAAACCTGCTTGAGACCAGCTAATGGAAAAGTAAACTGGAGTCTTTTTTAATACAAATGTAATTAACCAATCTATAATCACCACAGGGAGTGCCAGCAACATCTCATTTGTTTCTCCCACTGTAGGTATTGGACTGATAATGTTTCAGACATTAACACGGTGGAAATCCAGAGCTCCCCACTGAGACACAAGTCCTCCTTTCTCGGTGTAAAAAGTAACAGAATGGAGCCTCTTAACTCACATTTACTTGAGATACATGAGGCAATTAAAAGCATTATTATTATTTTTTTAAACATCTAAGCCACTACCAGTGCTATAACTCACCTGCAAACATCCAGCGCTTTGCGAACATCTCCTGAAACAGCAGAGACTTTTCGAGCACAGAACTGAATTGCAGCATTGTCCAGAACCTGGTCTCTAGATACCTTCAGATAAGACACAGAAGACACTTTTTAAAAAAAAAAAAAAAGTTGGGGCTGAGAAGGTGGCTCAGTGGTAGAGCGCTTGCCTTGCATGCCTGAGGCCCTGAGTTCGATTCCTCAGCACCACATAAGCAAAAAGAAAAAAGCTGGAAGTGGCGCTGTGGCTCAAGTGGTAGAGCGCTAGCCTTGAGCTGAAGAGCTGAGGGACAGCGCCCAGGCCCAGAGTTCAGGCCCCACGACCGGACCCAAAAATAAAAAAATAAATAAAATAAAAAAATTTTAAAAAAAGTTTGGAGTCAGTATTGGGACTCAAACTCAGGGTCTGGACATTATCCCTTAGTCTTTTATGTTCAAGGCTAGTGCTCTACCACTTGAGCCACAGCTTCACTTCTGACATTTTGATGCTAAGAGATAAGAGTCCTAAGGACTTTCCTACCTGGGCTGGCTTTGAACCATGATCCTCAGATCTCAGCCTCTTAAGTAGCTAGGATTATAGGCATGAGCCACTGGTACCAGCAGAAGACAATTTTAACTATAAGATTCTTAATTTAAATTGACTTTTCAAAAGAGGAACTTCCTTTCTTCACAGGCCTTTTTTTTTTAAATTAAGGCCATTGAGTAAGCATTTGAGTGATTCCTCTACTTCTTCAATTTCAACACTGAGGGATTCAGTAAGTGGAACCATGTGAGGAAATTCAAATAATGTTTCCCTCACTATGGTCCACAGGACTCCTTGCATCATTAGGAAAAGCAATCAAGCCAGGCGCTGGTGGCTCATGTCTGTAATCCTAGCTACTTAGAAGGCTGAGATCTGATGACTGCAGTCCATAGTGAGCAGGAGAGTTCTTCAGATTTTTTTTTTTTTTTGTCAGTCATGGGGCTTGAACTCAGGACGTGGGCGCTGTCCCTGAGCTTTTTTTGCTCAAGGCTAGTGCTCTACCACTTGAGCCACAGCACCACTTCTGGTTTACTGGAGATTAAATGGAGATAAAAGTCTCACAGATGGAAGTGGCTCTGTGGCTCAAGTGGTAAGGTGCTCGCCTTGAGCTGAAGAGCTGAGGGATAGTGCCCAAGCACAGAGTTCAAGTCTCATGACCGGCAAAAAAAAAAAAAATCTCACAGACTTCCCTGCCCTGGATTGGATTTGAACCTCCATCCTCAGATCTCAGTCTCCTGAGTAGCTAAGATTACAGGCATGGACCACCAGTACCCAGCTTCTTGAGACTCTTATCTCCAATTTACCACCGAAAAACCACAAGTGGAGCTATTGTCCAAATGGTAATAGACCACCAGCTTTGAGCACAAAAGCTCAGGGACAGCATTCAGGCCTGAGTTCAAACCCCCTGAGTGGTACCAGAAAAAGAACAGAAAACAATCAAAACAATGTATTTTCAAATCATTATTTGTTCTAAAGGAACAGAATTTGGTACTCACTTGATTAAGTCGATCTTGCAAGATAGCAGCTATCTGATTCCTTGTATAAGGTGGGAAGTTCAACAGCTGTGGCTTACATTTTTCTCTAGCTTCAAGCCTTGGCAGAATTCTGTCAGTGAGATCCAGAGTATTAGCAATACCTGAGAAGATAAATACGAATCAGTCAAATCATTGTGCCAGGAAAATTAAACCCTCTGAAAGATAAGCAATAGTATTTCCAGTTATAATGTAGCTTTCTAACTGTTACTTTCCACTTGCCTTCCATCCTATACCAATATGTAAGATGTGTCTAGCCATTAAGCTGAGCATGGTAGTACACACCTGTAGTAAGAACACTAGAGGCTGGGCTGGGAATGTAGCTTAGTGGTAGAGTACTTATCTAGTATGCATGGAGCTCTGGGTTCAATTCTTTGATACCATAAAAACAGAAAAAGCCAGAAGTAGCTATGTGGCTCAAGTGGTAGAGTGCCAGCCTTGAACAAAAGAAACTCAGGCCCAGGCCCTGGGTTCAAGCTCCATGACTGGCCAAAAAAAAAAAAAAAAAGAACATTTAGGAAGCTGAGGCAGGACGATTGTAAATTCAAGGCCAGCCTCAGTTGCATATAAGAGACTTTGCATAAAAACTAGATAAAGGGGCTGGGGGGTTTAGCCCAGTGGAAGGGCGCCCGCCCAGCGCGCGCAGGGCCATGGGTTCGGTCCTCAGCCCTGGAAAAAAACAAAAAAAACTAGATAAAGCCAGGTACTGGTGGCTCCCGCCTGTAAACCTAGCTACTCAGGAGACTGAGATCTGAGGATCGAGGTTCAAAGCCAGCCGGGGCAGGAAAGATTGTGAGACTCCTATCTCCAATAAATCACCAGAAAACCAGAAGTGGCGCTTCGGCTTAAGTGGTAAAGGGCTGGTCTTAGGCTGAAGAGCTGAGAGACAGTGCCCAGGCCTAGAGTTCAAGCCCCACAACTGACAAAAACAAACAAAAAAGCAAAACAAAAAAACTAAATAAAATTACATATAAATACATGCACAAAAGTATATATATGCATAGCTATACACACATACATATATACATATATACCTACGAATGCAGAGATACAAAACTGTAGGCTGGGTGCTCCTGCCAAGCTACTCAGAAGTTTGAGATTTGAGAACTGAAATTGGAAACAGCCCAGGAAGCAAAATCCAAGAGATTCATCTCTAACCACCAAAAAGCTGGAAGTTGAGCTGTGGCTCAAGGGATAGAGTGCCAGCCTTGAGTGCAAAAGTGTAGGGACAGAGCCCAGGCCCTGAGTTCAAACGGTACCAGCATGCATGCAGCATGTGTATGCATGCATAAACACATGCACACACACTCACACACATGCACGCGCAGGGTGGGATGAGGGGAAACACTACAAAACCACTATATGATATTTACAAATGAGCACTAACCAATTAGCACCAATCGAGAATGGCTTAGCCAGGGCCATTCAAACAGTGTGTATAAAACATCCTGCCCTTTGCTGTCCAGCTGATCCATTTCGTCCAACACCAACACACTACAGATTTAAGAAAAAAAAAAAAAACAGTTAACATCCATGGGCACCTTTCTAACCCTACAGTGTTTGATCCAGGCTGACTTCAGGTCACATTCCTACAGCTGAGATGTGAAGATCAGAATCTGTCCTATTTCTAGTCACTGTTAGAATGGCACTTGCTTCTCCTCTCCCATCAGAAACAAGTAATATCCTATTGTTTTCAAGCAGTTGGCTTCAAAACCACTTAAGATTTAAAACTTTTAAAATTTTAACTTTCTCCGGGGCTGGGAAGGTGGCTGTGTTAGAGCGCTTGCCTTGCATGCATGAGGCCTTGGGTTCGATTCCTCAGCACCACATAAGCAAAAAAAAAAAAAAAAAGCCAGAAGTGGCGCTGTGGCTCATGTGGTAGAGTGCTAGCCTTGAGCTGAAGAGCTGAGGGACAGCGCCCAGGCCCACAGTTCAGGCCCCACGACTGGACCCCCCCCACCAAAAAAAAATTTTAACTTTCTTTCATAGAGAAACTGAGAGTGTTCTTGGGCTGGGAAGGTGGCTCAGTGGTAGAGTGCTTGCCTTGCATGCATGAGGTCCTGGGTTCGATTCCTCAGCACCACATATGCAGAAAAAGCCGCAAGTGGCACTGTGGCTCAAGTGGTAGAGCACTAGCCTTGAGCTGAAGAGCTGAGGGACAGCACCCAGGCCCAGAGTTCAGGCCCCCCAACCGGCAAAAAAAAAGAAAAAGAAACAGAGTGTTCTTTTTGTGAACAGACCTTGCGGATTTTTGCCAAGCAACATGAAGCAAAGAAATACTTACATCATGGGGCCTTTCTCAGAAGTCATATGTTTTTCCAATTTCTTCACTATGTCCTTCCCAGCTGGCCTGGATACTTCTTCCTGATAAATCTCCTGAGCAATAGCTGGGAATACAGCCTGGGCATTCCTCAAGGACATGCAATTCAGCATGATAGTTTTAAATCCCTTCTCTTCCTTCTAGAAAAAAAAAATTTTTTTTAAAGTGCTAACATAGGAGTTATTGTGGCTTCAGAAGATCTGATGAAACTTGAAATGTCTTTTAGACCTAACAGAAGAAGCTCTATTTTCACTTTGAAAGATTTAGACAATGAAATATTGACAAAATATTTTGACAAAAACTTCAATCTCCCAAACATCTACTCATTCTTAGTCTTTAATAACCAGTGTTATTGGGCACTGGTGGCTCATACCTATAATCCTAGCTAGTCAGGAGTCTGAGATCTGAGGATCACCATTCAAAGCCAGCTAGGAAGGTCTGTGTGACTCTTACCTCCAATTAACCAATGAGCAGAAAGTGAAGATGTTACTCAAGAGTGCTAGCCTTGAGCAAAATTTAAGGGACAGTGCCCAGATCCTGAGTTCAAGCCCCAGTACCTTCCCCATAAAAAAAAAAAAAAAAAAATACCACCACCACCAACAAAAAGTGTCCTTCTACAAAAAGCATTGTCATTCAGATTCTCAACGCACCTTGAAGTCTTGAAGAATTCGGCTTAAGCAGGCAGTTTTTCCAGTTCCAGGAGCACCAGAAAGGTAAAGACTTCCAGCTTTTTTTCCACAGATGTGTTCCCTCAGGAAATGCCTGATGACATCCATCTCCTTCTCTCTGGCAGGCAGCCGATCCGGGACAGCTGTATTTAGGACAAGCTTTGCTTGCTGATAGCAAGTGCCTGTGCCAGACATAAAAGGACAATTAGATACAACAGAAGGTGACTGGAAAAACCCAGTGGGCTTCATTCCGAGTCATCAGCTTTGCATCACGATGGCTGAGCCCACAGCTGCCATGCAAGAACGCACCTTCTTGCTTGAACAGTCTCACACATACAGATTCTTTCTCGAGTGGACATTTCTGTTCAGAATTTGTTGTGATTGTTTGATCTTTTTGAGCTGAGGAAAGTATCTTGTTTTGGTGAACTCTGGCTTTTTCTGTTTTGCCAGGAGACTTAACTGGCAGCTGATCATCAAATATCAATCTGCGTCCCTTAGGGTTAAGTGAGTGCGGAGGACCATTCTCTTTCTTGCCTTGCTTTGGTGGAGAACAGGAAGGTAGATGAGGAGTGTTGCATAGATTGTCATCACCTGAAACATTTAAAATGACAATAAAATGACTTGCAGAGATCTCTGCCTTATTAAGAGGTCTATTTCTCTTTTTTACAAGTGCAGGGACTTGAAATCAGGGCCTTGGTGATATCCCTTAGTTTTTTTGCTTAAGGGCAATGCAGTACCACTTAAGCCACAGCTCCACTTCCAGTTTTTTGCTGGTTAATTGGAGATAAGAAGAATCTCACAGACTTTCCTGTCTGGGCTGGCTTTGAACTGCAATGCTCAAATGTCAGCTTTCTGAGCATCTAGGATTACAGGCCTAAGCCACAGCAACCCACCAGAAGTCCATTTCTACATATGAACCTCAAAAAGAAAGGCCTTGTCACTTAGAAGTCAGAAGGCCACCAGATGGCACCACTGAATCTTATTTGGTAGAAACTGAATGGGGTCTAGTGGGATGAAATCTTAAAATCTTAAGATACAGGATTTCTCAGACATGATACCACCAGCCAAAGAAATAATTTCTGAACATTGCCAGATGTTTGGCTGCAGCATGGATTTCAGATGTTATGCCAGTAACACCCCATGGCTGTGAGAACCAAATGTCTCCAGGTATGATCAAATTACCCCCCATTAAAACAAATGCTCTTAGGCTGGATGTATAGTTAAATGGTAGAGCTCTTGCTCTGCCTGATCAAGATCTAAGGCCAGACCAGCCACAGGGAAAATGTCAGTGAAAATTCCCTAGCATCTCAAACAAGAAGTGGAGAATGGTGGTGCATACCCGTAATCCCAGCTACTGAGAGGCACACATAGGAGGCTACCTGAACAAAAACTTGAGACCCTATCTGAAAAATAAAAGGGCAAGGAATGTGGCCTGGTAGAGCAACTGTCTAGCAAGCACTATACCTGCCTTCAGCACTATACCTCTTAAAAGAATTGAAAATGTAGTCTCTTAATTTCACAACCATGGAGGCAAATTTCATAAGACTATATAACTGCAAAGTAATTTTTAAATGACTGAACTAAGATATAAATAGAAAATCAGCCCTATTAAGTAGGACAGTAATCACAGTAAGTAGCTTAATTCTTAAATTCAGTAAACACTTAGCAACCATTCTGAAAACAAACTGAATTATACAGTTTTAACTTCAAAAGCATCTTTCCATTAAGATAGGTCAAGAAGCACTAGTCAAAAAGTGGTATTAATGTAATGCTTACCCAGACGTTTTCTGGGGCTAAGAGGCAGAATTTTTGTGTTTATACAAGGAGAACAGGGAATAGCCCGTTCATTTGTCGGTTGTAGTTTCGTATTGCTAGAGGTTTTCGTTTTGTTCAATGTCCGAGATTGCTTTTTCTTTGGAAAACCGATTGTAGCTTGTGCCTGGGATCGGGTTTGAGGCATGATGTTAATACAGCTAGATGCAAAAAAAAAAAAAAAAAAGTACAATAAACTTGATATGTAAAGGCCATGGGAAAAATAACACGAAATTTGTTTATCAGGTTATCCTAAGTTGTTCTTAACCACTTGAGAGATGCAATAACTGATTTCTATAGTACTTCCATTACTCGGGACCCCTTTACCAGCAGCTTAGCCCACGACCGCCACGAGGAGTCTCCCAAGCCCTGACACCGAAGCTCGGGCTTCCCTCCTTCCCGGCACCACTCAGGCTCCCCTGCACACAGCCCTCCACCCCGGAACACCTTCCCACAGCTTCCAGGTCCTCCTTACCAATACTAGACCCACTTCCAGGGCGCACGGCCTTCGTCCCCGACCTCAGCCCTCCAACCACCCCCGCTCCACCACCTTCCTTTCGCCTCGGGCCTCGCCAGAACTAGCAGTGCCGCGTCAGCCTCTTCCTAACCCGCTGGCTCCCAGACTCCAAGCCTCCCCCAAGCAACCCGCTCCTTTTTACCCTTCAGGGCTGTGTCACCTCAATGCAGGCTTCTTTTCGAGACACACACGAGTTCTGGGAACCTGAGGCACAAACTGCACAAGTGTTACTCCAAACCAGCAGCAAGACAAGCAGCTCGCGCCAAATCTGCTCTGCCCGGCGTTCCCGTCTCGCGCCAAAGCCAAGCCACATTTCTGATTGGCTGTCGCCACGGCGCCGCGAGGCTTAGCCACATCCCTTTCCCTCGAGTCCAAAGCAGCGGGAACGCCCACAGCCAATAAGACAGCCTCCAGGTCTCAGAGCCACCATGAGGCCACGCCCTCTAGCGGGGTGAGGGGTGGGGAAAATCAGACTACCTACATCCGGGGCCTCCTCGGAGAGGCGCGCGGTTACGGCAGATGAGAACTTGTCATACCGCAATGCCTGACGGGAGATGTAGTAGTTTTTCCACCCCTCCACGCAACCTACTTCCGCATTCTTTCACCTCCTAGACTGGAGGAGGCTTCTCACTGCCATGCGCACTTAACTTTCATTGTCCTGATGGGTTAGTACTTTAGGTGAGGTTCTATGTAGTAGGCATGATGCCAGGCACCCTTTTCTTTTCTCAAATGCAAATGAATGCGTAGGTCTAGAGGTTGCAGCAGCCATGAAAGGCTTAGGCCCCTCATCTCCTGATACCTGAACTGTTGTTTGGTGAAGTGAAATGCATAAAAAATTCCACCTCATGTGCAAAAATAATGTCAGCCTTTTATTTTGTTCAAGGTAAAAATATTATGTTTTATGCACTTTACCATTAATCCACACATTGTAGGGAGTGAATTATGGTCCTTTAATTTAAAAATACTGTATAGACAAACACCAGGGTTTCAAAGCCAGGGAAGATAGTTATAGGAGAGGCAAGCTGAGCATTTAATGAAAAATATAAATTAGAGCAGTAATTTGTAGGCTAGCCTCCAAGGCTAATAATCCTTCTAAGCTTCCGGTTCCTTTCAGGCTGACTATAGGTAATGATATTTATCTTTTATCACTCAGTATCAAAAATAGAGCCATAAAGCTAAGAAACAGAAAACAATACTATAATCATCAGTTAATTATATTTCAGGAGGAGCCAAGAGCCAATACTGAGTGCTTAAATGGATGTCTGGACTGAGCTACTTTTACAAATATCACTTTTTTTTGGTTAATACTGAGGCTGAACTCAGGGCCTTGCACTTGCAAGGTAGGCATTCAACCACTTGAATCATGCCTCTACCCTCTATTATCATTAGATGACAGTATACATAATATATGTATATATTTTACTAATCTTCACATACACCTCATGAAGTTGATAAATTTTTGTTTTATAAACAGGAAGACCAAAGTAGAGGGTGTTGAGTAAATTTGCCCAACGCCACAAAACTAGTAAGTCAAAGAGTTACAATATGCTCTGAAATCTGACAAGAAATCAAACTCTTGCCTGGTCCAATGGTTTATACCTGTAATCTCAGCTATTCAAGAGGCCAAGAACTAAGGATCAAGATCCAATGCCAGGCCAGACAAATCTGGAAGACTCTTATCTCCAATTAACCTCCAAAAAGTCAGAAGTAGTAGTGTGGCTCAAGTGGTACAGTGCCAGCCTTGAGCAAAAAAAAAAAGCCAGGAAAGAGTGCAAAGCCCTAAGTTCAAGCCTCAGTACTGGCATGAAATAAAAATCAAACTGCTGACCACTTAATTATAGAGGTCCTGACCATTTAATCACAGGGGTAGGATTAAAAAGATGTGGGTTCTAAACAGAAGGAGATGATGGTGTACATTTAAGGAAGGCTTTCTAGCAGCTATAAGCTACAAGAGAACAGGTTGTCATGAATGGAAAGAGACCTACCACAGTGGACTGATTCAGTGGCAATGTGCTTGCCTAGCACTGCTGTAAAGAAAAAGTTCATGGGCTGGGAAGGTGGCTCAGTGGTAGAGTGCTTGCCTTGCATGCATGAGGCCCTGGGTTCGATTCCTCAGCATCACATAAGCAAAAAGCAAAAAAAAGAAAAAGTTCATAAAATGACTTTCAGATCACGGGGCTGGGAAGGTGGCTCAGTGATAGTGCTTGCTTTGCATGCATGAGGCCCTGGGTTCGATTCCCCAGCACCACATAAGCAAAAAGAAAAAAGCCAGAAGTGGCACTGTGGCTCAAGTGGTAGAGCGCTAGCCTTGAGCTGAAGAGCTGAGGGACAGCGCCCAGGCCCACAGTTCAGGCCCCAGGACTGGACCAAAAAAACAAACAAAATGACTTTCAGATCACATGACATTTCTCATCTAATAGGGCAACAGAACCCAGAATGCAAACTTTACTGTGTATTTTTATAACTTGGGCACCTGAAAATTGACTTTAATAACCTGGAATAGTGATCTATTCCCAGCCAGCTTTTTTTTTTTTTTGAGTCCAGTCGTGGGGCCTGAACTCTGGGCCTGGGCGCTGTCCCTCAGCTCTTTAGCTCAAGGCTAGCGGTCTACCACTTGAGTCACAGTGCCACTTCCTGGTTTTTTCTTTTTTGCTTATGTGGTGCTGAGGAATCGAACCCAGGGCCTCAGGCATGCAAAGCAAGCACTCTACCACTGAGCCAACTTCCCAGCCCCCCAGCCAGCTTTAAGAGGTGACTTAACAACCTACCTCAGAGAAAGGAGGGAAAGATGTAACCAACATGGTGCATATTGGAACCTATGAAAACACCAGGAGGGCTCAGGATGTGGCTTAGTGGTAGAGTGCTTGCCTAGCATGCATGAAGCCCTAGGTTCAATTCCTCAGTACCACATAAACATAAAAGGCCGGAAGTGGTGCTGTGACTCAAATGGTAAGAGTGCTAGTCTTGAGCAAAAGAAGCTCAGAAACAGTACCAAGCCCCAGAACTGGTGAAAGAAATGAAAGAAAGAAAGAAAGAAAGAAAGAAAGAAAGAAAGAAAGAAAGAAAGAAAGAAAGAAAGAAAGAAAGAAAGAAAGAAAGAAAGAAAGAAAGAAAGAAAGAAAGGAAGAAAGGAAGGAAGAAAGAAAGGAAGGGAGGAAGGAAGGGAGGAAGGAAGGGAGGAAGGAAGCACCAGGAGACAGTAAGGTGCTAGTAGCTCATGCCTATAATTCTAGGTACTCAGGAGGCTGAGATGAGGATCACCATTCATTTGAATCCAGCCTGGGCAGATAAATCCAATAGCAAAAAGCTGGAGGTGCGGCTCAGGTGGTAGAGTATCAGCCTGGAGCATAAAAGCCAGGTAGAAGTGTGATTCCCTGAATTCAAACCCCAGGACTGGTGTGCGTACACACACGCACATGCACGCATGCACAAGGACACACACACACACACACACATACATAAATGACCATTATGTAAGCATGCAGAGATTCACAGTAATGCCAAGACTGGAAGGTCTTGAGCTGAAGGCATGTCTCAAGTGGCAGAGCCTGTCTAGCAAGTTGAGGCCAAGTTTAACCTCTAATTCTGCTAAATAAATAATGGTCAAAAGGCTTCTAAAAGGCAACCTATTTGCAGCCTTTCCCTTTCCACTGGTAAAAATCCTCCAGTAGTGATGCCCCCACATACCTTTCTCTTTACTATTTCATCTGTCACTTGCCATTCTTTTTCCTGGTTTACTCCTTTTTAATATCCTGAATGCTTCTCCTGATAACTGTCCTGAAATCTTCCAGATGATGTATGGGCTTTTTGGAGGCAAAGACCTTGCCTTATTCATCTCTATTTGTAGACGTCTGCTACAGAGTAAAGTACAGGATATACGCCTGCAGAATGAAAAGGACATTTCTGCCTAGACATACACCATTTCCATGAAACTTTGTTCTTAGATGTGTGGTGTGTGTGTGTCCAAATTTTACACCTTAATCTATGTGCAGAAACAATCCAGTCTGGGCTCCAGTGATTGAAGGGTAAAGCCCTTACTATAGTTACTCTTTGGGGTGGTCGGGATCCTTTATATTACCTTTGTTACTAGAGTGAATACTAGGAAGTCAGAGATAGGCAGCTTCCTTCCAGTGATGCAGTTCATGGTTGGACTGGGTCAGGAAATACTTGAGGCATATCACAGTGTCTCAGTAAGCATGAGTTAGCCAGCTTGTTTCCTATCACCTAATTCACATACAGTATCAAGGAGGAGGAATCAAGTCACACTGGAAAGACCTGTTTGGCTTCCGCACACTCGCACACACCCTCTTGTATGTGTGGTGTGTAGTATCATCTTAGTGAAACAGAAAAAACTTATAGGTTAGGAAAATGAGAGCCATTTAGGTTAGCTCCAATTGCAGGCTATAAATAGACTTTAAAAAGTCAGGAAGTACAATTAAGTCAATAAATAGGTAGTTTATTAATCATATTAATGACAATGGTGGGTCAAATAATCAGGAATTCAGCCAATCTGGTAAGTATGGATGAAAATGAGTCCTTTTCCCCTCTCCCTCCACATGTTTTTATATCTAAACTATGAGAGTGATTCATACACACACCCATTATGAATCAGTATGGAAAATAATTCCAAGACCTTTGCTAATAATGAAGTGTAAGTTAAGCTCATTAAATCTTAGTGGTTATTATGTCAGCAGACCACAGTAAGCAAAGAATGGCTGGTTCAGTTTTTTACATCTGAAGTCAAAGTTCAAGAAAACCAGCTACGATTTCAGCTTAAAAAAAAAGCAGTGAAGAAATCTGGCTGACGCTCACATAAACATGGATATACATGAGCCTGAAGACCCTGTCCCTATCTTTTCTTCCATTGTCCATGGAAAAATCAGCCATGCAACAGAGACAAAAAGAATCATTATGGGATACAAGGGGAGGGCATAAGGCTAGGGAACCTTTTAGGCTTCCTGAAATCATGAGGAAAAGGAAGTTAAGGAGAAAACAGAAAATGAAGTCAGAATCTGCAGGTCATCATGGCTTAACTCATTTTCAAAACCCAGTAGGAAAATAGACCTATGGCAAGTGGCAGATACTTCCGCTGATCAAATCAATACATACAGGTTTTTTCAGGAGACCTGAAATCAAATTACCACACTTACCCAGATAAGCCAACAGGCTTCCACCCCTCTGCTCCCTCTTGAAGCGGTATTCCAGTCAAGAGTATGTACTACACAATTTACAGGTTTTGTTCTTAAAAGCAAGGTTTAATTCAACTGCATGGTATCCAGAAAAAAAGAAATGTACCAAAGAATCCAACCTGAGACTAGATTATACATTTTAGAGAAGGGGGAAAAAATCAGTGCTATGTGGGAGAGGGAGCACTGTAATCAGAATATAACTCCAAAATAAATCACAATAAATTATTTTTAAAAAGAAATGGATCCACATGCAGATGGATGGTCTCTCTCTCTCTCTCTCTCTCTCTCGCTCTCTCATGCACGCACGCACGCGCGTACGCGCGCACTCACACACACACACACACACACACACACACACACACACACACACGTGTGCACATGCCCACACACACATTCTAGTCTTTTATTCAGTGTTGACTATTATGTCCATGCTGGTCACTGTTGGAAAGGACAAAGGTTAGACATATGAAGGGTATATGTCCCTTTGCCATCAATGGAATTAAGGAAGGAACACACTAAGCTGTCAGAAACAAGAGTAGAAAGAAGGAAACAGCTGTTGTCAAGGAAGATTTTAATAACTTTAAAGAGGGAAAAGGAAGAAAGCACAGAAATCTAACACAAGTAAAGGCACAATGACGTGGAGCTGAATGGAACCAAACCTTTCCTTCAATTAAAGTTAGCTCTTTTTTTTTCTTTTTGCATGTGATTTTGAAAGTGGTTACAGTTTTATTTTGTATTTAAGAGATGAGTCTTGAAGGCAGAGTTGTAATGCCCCTCTCTCTTCTCTTTCCTCCCATTCCCTAAACTAGGGCAGCTTAACAGAAAGCCACCTTGACCACGTAGCCAGGGACTGAGATTCAAAAGGAAAATTAAGACTTCAACTGGCATGTGAAGAATCTGATTTGCAGCTGATTGTAGGTGGGATTTCCAGAAGGACGGACAGCTCAGTGTGGTGCCATCAAAGGGCCTTTGATGCCCAATACTCCACCCAGAGTTTCACAGAAGGGAAGGACCCTGGAGTCACACTTCTTCCCCACTCTCATAAGCACTCAGCCTACAGATTATTTCAAGTGATCAGGAGAATTAAAACATACCCCAACCCTGAGTTGCTCTGTAGCAAGTCTATTTACAATTTTTTTTTCCTCATCTCTCTCCCTGGAGGTAAATCTGGGTTTTGAGCTGGGAAGCTAAGTGTGAGGGCATTTCCCCAGTGCAATGGCCAGTGACTACTCTCCTTACTCTCCTTGCCTTTGCCAGGTTTATAAGTCCATAATAAACTCTTGGACCCAGAATGCTTGTCATCAGCTGGGATAGCCCTAGGCTAACTTACTCTGTTGGCCTAGGCTATGAAAATGCTGGACTTTTACAGCTGGAGCAAATCCCCAGGAGAAAAACACACCTGGAATATCAAAGTGCTTTGGTCCAGGTTAAGTGACCAGAGAAGGAGAATGAGGCATCTAGATTATTTAAAACCTTAGAGGCACTGTCCTACTTCCAGACAGAGCAGTAAGAAACTACTAAGTTTTTTTCTCACTAGAGAAAAATATCATAAACACAAACCCACACAAGAGCTGTTGTTAGTACAGCTTCTTGATATTTAGCTGGGTGATGTCTCTTTTGTCTGGGAGGGGACAGGGGAGTTAAGAGGACTGGGTAACAGCCTCAACATGAGACCACCCGATCTTCCACTGAAGGGACAACACTCCTGCAAGCAGAGAAAAAGCAGTTTAAAAGGTGAGACGTTTAAGTGCTCTTGCAGCCAGCCCACCTTAAATCTACATTACAAGCTTTGTAAAACATACAAAATAGACCAAGAACTATGAGTATTATATTCCCACCTTCAATAGCAAATATACATGGCAATAAATCTGTTATTCAGAGGGACCCAATAATGGATAAGGCAAAAGAGATTTCAGTAGGTGTTGTGTCATCAACATGCTCTGAAGGAGAAAAGTCATTTGATTATATCTAGACCCAGGCCTTTTTTGTTGTTGGTTTTTTTTTTTTTTTTTTCCAATCCCCCATTTTTTTCATGAGGCAAAGACAATGCAAATACAACCAGTACCCATGTGACACAGTCCAAATGCTGGGGAATGGGAGGGGCAGCAGCAGGTCATGGGGAGGAAGATTCAGCCCCAATGAAAAGCTGGGGTTTGGCTTTATTTGTGATACACATCTTGATGCTCTATATTTGAGTAAAGGATTAAAAAAAAATACACTTTGAGAACATTGTACAAAAGGCATCAACTCCCATTTCAAAAACAAATGGGAAGACTTCACAGTCAAAGTTCAGAAATGCGTTAGCATCTACCCTGGAATTCTGCTGCAGTATCAACTCTTGTACTCCCCTCTCACCTCTACTCACGGCAGGATTCTGGGGATACTTCTGGGAGGTAACTGCTAACAGATTTGGAAAAAAAAAAAAGAATAAATAATGAATGATTAGAAAAAGGTTGGTGACAGATTTAACTGTAGTCTGTCACAAGAGTCCATGTGATCCAGGAGATGGAAAAAGATAAGAGACTCTGAATAACTTGAGTCCTCCCTCACCTATCACTAGGAAGATTTGGACTTTTACCAGGAATCAGGACAGATCCTTAGCCTGTGATCCAATAGATTATAAGGATCCCTAAGGCAAGTTAAGCCTGTGATGGGTCTGGTTAAAGTTCTTAACTGGAATGCCCTACACATTTCAAGCTCAGTCTCCCTGCTCTTAGGCCAAGCCTAAAGCAGCCTGGGCATGTGGCAATGGCTATATCAAACTCATTTGGTTTGTGGTGTCCAGGAGCCCCATCCTGCTATTGGAGAAAGGACAGTCATTGTCTCATTATCCAACTTCAGACATACCACCTATGTTCCCTGTGCTCTTTAACTAGGGCCTGGAAGACAAGGAAACAACATAATGCCGGCTGCCAACAGAAGACCTATCTTAAGGAGGCAAACTTCACTGACGTCTTTGTGCTTCTTGGCCTACAGGAATACTGAATTATCCCTCCCAGCTTCTCCTGTGTTCTCAACCTGTCCTAATTTGTCATTAGCACCTGCACTCTAGGCAAGTGAGAATAAAGGAAGGAAGAGCCTGCTCAGTCAGGCCGACTGTCAACTTTTCATTATAAGCAAATCCTTTATCTGTCAAATCCTTTGTATTCCACCCAGACAGAGCCAGATTCTCCCATGAAAGAAGGGTATCTCCTCCTTGCCTTTTTAATCATTCTGGAGCTGACTGACTCAAAACCAATGATCACTTCAAGGTCAGTCAGAAAAACTGAGGCAGACTTGAGGTTGAGGTTAAGACCCAGGCAACATCTCCCTATCTCCCACCAGAAGTTTTTGGAATTTGTGGATCATAACTGAATGATGCCCCTGGCAAAAGTGACTTTCCTCTTGGCAGGATGAGGACAGGGAGGGTCGGGGGAACATCCTTCAACCTAGTACCCTGAGGAAAGGGGGCAGGGAGTCCCAGAGGACTTGAATGGCTCCTGGTCCCTTAGATGCAGAAGAACTGACTAGCTCTAAACTGATCCTCAGCTTATTTTACCCTTTTCTTTTTTAAATATTTAGTTTAATTGATTAGTATTTAGTGTGTATATTCAACCTATCCCTGGAATGGGGGAGGGAGGATGAGAACAAAACCAAATGCCCCTAAAAATAAAGCAGAGCCATATCCTTGTCCTTTCTCCAAACCTGACCTTTAAAACAGATCACTTGTCTGTACATTCCTTTCCTGCCTCACTATAAATGTCCCTCTCCCAGAAGTCCTGGCTATGCCAGCTTCCTAAACAATGGAATATAATGCACCCACCAAGCTTCCCCACACTGGATAAGAACACAGAGGAGCAGCATTCTCCATCCTGCCCAACAGTGAGTCCATCCACCACAAGGCACCTTTCCCTAGGGAAAGCAGGAGACACAGACTGGCAGGACTTGCTAGAAGTGGGATAGATGTAGGGCTTAAGACCCCACTGCGGACAGAAAGAGTCCAATCACCAAATCCAGAGACGAACTGCATAGATGGAAGTGAGCTGGGAGGATGCTTTGAGTCCAGGGTTGGTTGCACTGGAGAAACACAGTAGGAGCTCTCATGCAGGTTTAGGGGAATGGACAGGACCATCTGAGAAGAAGAGGAGGTCCATTCTTTTCCTGAGGAACAGGATCAAACCAGGCTTCACCTGAGAATGGGTGGCAGAGGTGGGGCTCCACGGGCAGCTGGAAAAAAAAAACACACACCCAAACACATATATACTGATTACATACTAGACCCTGAATAATACAAACATTCTTGAAGTGAGAGTTGAGCTCTTTAAGTAAACCTTTAAAATCTAGGGATTAGGTTTTTTGGTTGTTATAACTGTTTTCCAGTACTGGGGACTGAACCAACCAAGGCATCATACTTGCCAGCTCCCAGCCTGTTTTGTTTTTTAAAGACAGCAGGGCAGGAAAGGCCATGAAACTATCTCTAATAAACCACCAGAAAACTGGAAGTGGCGCTGTAGCTGAATGCTCAGGGACAGTTCCCAGGCCCAGAGTTCAAGCCCCACAACCAAAAAAAAAAAAAAAAAAGATGAGGAGCAGAAGATCATCATCACCCCCTCCCCCGTCCTGGGGCTTGAACTCAGTGCCCGGGCATTGTCCCTGAGCTTCTTTGTGCTCAAGTCTAGGGCTCTACCACTTGAGCCACAGCACCAATTCTGGCTTTTCCTGAATAGTTTATTGGAAATAAAGAGTCTCATACTTTCCTGCCAGGGCTGGCTTTGAAAACGATCCTCAGATCTCAGCCTTCTGAGTAGCTAGAATTGCAGGCATGAGCCACCAGCACCGGTTGAGAAGCATATTTAAAGCATAATTAAAAACCACAAGCCTGGAGCTGATGATTCTTGCCTGTAATACTAGCTACTCAGAAGGCTTAGCTCTGATGGAGGGAAGAAGAGAGGGAGACAACACAAAATTCAACATTCATACAATAAGGGAAAAACTTTCCTTACTACCTTTCTCACCTCGGTTTGTTTTGCTGGGATATATTCTCTGAAAATGTTTATATTCTTCTGGAGCAGGAAAGTCTTCTACTGGATGGAAGGAATACTTTGACTCAAAATCATCTGTGAAAAGAATAGAATATTAACTGACATGGCCCCTCCTTGTGCTTCCATAGGCCTCTGACTTCTTACCACCCATTCTGCTTAATAATCCCTCATGCATCCTGATGTATAGAAAGCGTGTTTCAGCCACCAAACCGCAGTTGTTTTTTTTGTTGTTGTTGGTGGTGGTCACAGGGCTTGAACTCTAGGCATGGGTGCTGTCCCTCAGCTCTTCAGCTCAAGACAAGTGTTCTACCACTTGAGCCACAGTGCCACTTCCGGTTTTCTGGTGGATAACTGAAGGTAAGATTCTCACTGACTTTCCTGCCTGGGCTGACTTTGAACTGCGATCCTTAGATCTCAGCCTCCTGAGTAGCTAGAATTACAGGCATGAGTCACCAGCCTCTGGCAAAAATGATTTCTTTTTTTCTTCTTTTTTGTTGGTCACGGGGCCTGAACTCTGTGCCTGGGTGCTGTCCCTAAGCTCTTCACCTCAAGGTTAGCACTCTACCACTTGAGCCACAGTGCCACTTCGAGCTTTTTCTGCTGCTGTGGTCCTCAGGAATCAAACCCAGGGCCTCATGCATTCAAGGAGAGCACTCTACCAGTGAGCCACCTTCCCAGCCCCTAAACCAAGGTTTTTCTTTTTGGGGGTGGGAGGAGTGCAGGTTCTGGGGCTTGAACTCAGGGCCTGGGCACTGTCCCTGAGCTTTTGTACTCAAAGGTACCCCTTTACCACTTGAGCCACAACTCCACTTCGGGGTTTTTTTTTTTTGATGTTTAAATGGTGATAAGAGTCTCTTGGACTTTCCTGCCCAGGCAGGCTTTGTAGCATGATCCTTAGATCTCAGCCACCTGAGTAGCTAGGGTTAGAAGTATGAGCCACACAAGTGGTAGAGCGCTAGCCTTGAGCTGAAGAGCTGAGGGACAGCGCCCAGGCCCAGAGTTCAGGCCACACGACCGGACCCAAAAAAAAAAAAAAAGTATGAGCCACTGGCACCCAGCTTTTTTTATTTTTTATTTTGTCAGACATGGGGCTTTAACTCTGGGCCTGCACACTGTCCCTCAGCTCTTCAGCTCAAGGCTAGCACTCTACCACTTGAGCCACAGCGCCACTTCTAGTTTTCTGGTGGTTTACTGGAGGTAAGAGTATCACAGACTTGGGGCTGGGAAGATGGCTCAGTGGTAGAGTGCTTGCCTTCCATGCCTGAGGCCCTGGGTTCGATTCCTCAGCACCATATAAGCAAAAAAAGAAAAAAGCCGGAGTGGCACTGTGGCTCAAGTGGTAGAGCGCTAGCCTTGAGGTGAAGAGCTGAGGGACAGCGCCCAGGCCCAGAGTTTAGGCCCCACGACTGGGCCAAAAAAAAAAAAAAAAAAGAGTATCACAGACTTTTTCTGCCCAGGCTGGCTTTGAACCACGATCCTCAGATCTCAGCCTCCTGAATTGTTAGGATTACAGGAGTGAGCCATCAGTGCCTGGCTGGCACCCAGCTTTAACTAGAGATTTGGCCAGGAAATTCCCACTCAACATAGGTTACTCTCCTTTTGTTCTTTTGTTCTACAAAACAATTCAGACAGCCATCTCCTGGTCCCTACTCCTGCAAGAAGGCTCAAAGATTCCTTTAATGTTTAATTTACATTTCCAGGGCTTCTCTTTTTTGGGCTGGTCTAGGCCTTGAATTCAGGGCCTGGGTGCTGTCTGGAGCTTTTGTGTTCAAGGTTAGCACTCTTAACACTTTGAGCAATTGCTTCCTTTCTGGCTTTATTTATTTATTTTTTTGAGTGGCTAATTGGAAATCCAAGAGTCTCATAGACTTTCTTGCTCAGGCTGGCTTTGAAATGAAATTCTCAGATCTCAGACTCCTGAGGAGCTAGTATTACAGGTTTGTGCCACCAGCACCCAGCTCGCCTCCTCCCTCCCTGCCCCCCAGTCATGGGGCTTGAATTCTGGTCCTGGGCACTGTCCCTGAGTTCATTTGCTCAAGGCTAGAACTCTACTACTTTGAACCACAGCGTCATTTCTGGTTTTTGAGTAGTTAATTGGAGATAAGAGTCTCATAGGGAATTTCCTGCCCAGGCTGGCTTTGAACCACAGCCTCGTGTGTAGCTAGGATTACAGGCATGAGCCACCAGAGTCCAGCTATCCAATAATCTTTGTTTTTTATTTGTCTGAGACAGTCTCAATCTGGGCTGCCCTCACTCACTATGTAGCCCAGGCTGGTCTCAAATTTGCAATGCTTCTGCCTCAGACTGAGTGCTGGGATTACAGGTGTGCACAATCGTATCTAGTGACATTTCCAAGGTTTCTTTCATTTTTTGCTGTTGTTGGCAGTACTGGGGCCTGAACTGAAGTTTTAAAGGATTTTCTGCTCACAGCTGGTACTCTGACTTAAACAACCTCCACTTCTAGCTTTTTGCTGGCTAGCTGTAAAAGAGTCTCCAAAGTTTGTTTGCCTGGCTCGGAATCTCAATCCTCAGCTCTCAGCCTACTGAGAAACTAGGATTATAGGCATGATATATCAGTGCTGGGCTTGTTTAGTTGGGGGAGGGGGGGCAGGGGTCATGGGGCTTGAACTCTGGGCCTGGGCGCTGTCCCTGAGCTCTTCAGCTTAAGGTGAACACTCTACCACTAGAGCCACAGCGCCACTTCTGGTTTTCTGATCATTACTGGAGATAAAAGTCTCATGGCCTTTCCTGCCTGGGCTGGCTTTGAACCTCAATCCTCAGATCTCAGCCTCCTAAGTAGCTAGGTTATAGGCGTGAGCCACTGGTGCAGGGCTTTGTTTAGTTTTTAAAGAGCCAGAAAGTAGCTCTCCTTCCTACGATACGAAATTCTAGGATATGTCTGACTAATCTGAAGAGGATACCGTCTCTGACATAAAAACTAGCCAGCAACAATGATCCTTGGAAGGCTTGAAAATATCTTTAAAGTTAGCATGATACCTGCTAACTTTACTTCAATCTATTGCAAAGCAATCAGTCCTACAATCTATGCAAGGAAAGATGTCAATGGATGGTGTGTAGAGGTCTGGGGATGGAAGTCAGGTAAAGAAATGCCTCGAGAAAACTATGGTGTGGCCATTCCCACCCAATCGTTACCTGGCAGCCACGGCAGTGGAATGAGAGAAGTTACACAGGAACTATGGGACAAAAGAGCAATGACTTACCCAAGAAAGACCGGACAGTAGTGATGGAATCTCTGTGGCCATTCCTCAGAGGTGGTGGAGGAGGAGGGGGTGGCCCAGCTGGTGTCCTTGAGGGTGGCGGTGGGGGCTTTCCTCTGTTTGGGGGTTCTGACCCATGCATTCGGTATGGTGGGGGTGGAGGGGGAGCATCCCGGGCACCATTTCGGATCATGGGTGGTGGGGGTGGAGGAGCTGCAATTAAAATTCAAAATAATTAGGCTTGGGTGAAGCTGGTAAGGGAAGAGGGACAAAGAGAAAAGACACAAGGTCTGTCCAATAAGCTTCCAAGTTCTTTGTCTGATTCAATTTTAAGACTGTTTCAAGTAACAGGCCAGAAAAAAAAAAAAGAGTCCTAAAAAAAGTCAGTTTGAAAAAAAAAATTAGGGCTGGGAAGGTGGCTCAGTGGTGGAGTGCTTGCCTTGCATGCATGAGGTCCTGGGTTCGATTCCTCAGCACCACATAAGCAAAAAGAAAAAAGCCGGAAGTGGCGCTGTGGCTCAAGTGGTACAGCACTAACCTTGAGCTGAAGAGCTGAGGGACAGCGCCCAGACCCAGAGTTCAGGCCCCACGACCCAACTCAAAAAAAAAAAAAAAAAAAATTAGGTAAGAGTTCCTCATTTGGAATCCAAGATGATCTTTTTTGTTTGTTGGTTGGTTATGGGCTTGAACTCAGGGTCTGGGCTTCATCCTTGAGCTATATGGCTCAAAGCCAGGGCTCTACCACTTTGCCACAGCAACACTTCCAGTTTCTAGTGGTTAATTAGAGATAAGAGTCTCAAGGACTGGCTTTGAACCGCGATCCTCAGATCTCAGCCTCCTGAGTAGGTAGGATTACAGGTGTAAGTCACCAGCACCCTGCAATTTTTTTTTTTTTTTTTTTTTTGCAGATAAGGTCTTGCTAGGTAGTCCAGGCTGGCCTCAAATTCATGATCCTCTTGCCTCAACCTTCTTTTTGTTTTTTTGTCGGTCGTAGGGCTTGAACTCTGGGCTTGGGCGCTGTCCCTCAGCTCTTCAGCTCAAGGTGAGTGCTCTACCGCTTGAGCCACTTCCGGTTTTCTAGTGGTTTATTGGAGATAAGAGTCTCAAGGACTTTCCTTGTCTGGGCTGGCTTTGAACCGTGATCCTCAGATCTCAGCCTCCTGAGTAGCTAGGATTACAGGCGTGAGCCACTAGTGCCCAGCTTCTTGTCTCAACCTTCTGAGTAGTAGAATTATATTTATACAACTCTCAGCTAATAACACCATATATATATATTTTTTTGGTTGGTTGTGGAGCTTGAACTCTGGGCCTGGGCAGAGTTTAACTCTTCAGCTCAAGGCGAGCATTCTAGCACTTGAGCCACAGTACCACTTCCAGTTTTCTGGTGTTTAATTGGAGATAAGAGTCTCACGGACTTTCCTGCCCAGGCCGGCTTAGAACCACAATCCTCAGATATCAGCCTCCTGAGTAGCTATGGTTACAGGCATGAGCCCCCAGCACCCCACCAATAACACCAATTTTAAGGGGAAAAAAATGATAAAATTCTTAATTATTTTATATCATTTTACCATTATTATTAAATTTTTTTTTGGTCGGTCCTGGCGCGTGAACTCTAGGCCTGAACGCTGTCCCTCAGCTCTATCACTTGAGCCACAGAGCCAATTCCAGTTTTCTGAGTGGTTTATTGGAGGTAAGAGTCTTACAGAATTTTCTGTCTGTGCTGGCTTTGAACGGAGATCCTCAGATCTCAGCCTCCTGAGTAGCTAGGATTACAAGTGTGAACCACTGACACCTGGCACTATTTTATTTTTTGCCATGCTTAAACTCAGGGCCTTCTCAGCTTGCTTGTTCATGATGGAGAATTTATCACTTCAAACACAGCTGCTGTTTATTTTCGTGAAGTCTTTCAAACTTTTTTTCTGTCCAGGTTGAGTCTGAACTGTGATCTTCCATATCTTAGCCTCTTGAATAGACAGAATTATAGGTTTGAGCCCCTGTCACCTGGCTGTTTCTCTACCTTTTAAATTATCCTTCAAAAGGGCAGTATTTGGGACTGGAAGTATGGCTTAATTGGTATACAGCCTGCCTAACAAACATAATGTTCTGAGTTTAAAAATAAAAGAAATTGTAAAGGCAGTATTTTACTCTGCAGAAGGCAAATGTAGGGAATAAACTATGGATGAAGGTCAAATTTCTGGTTTGCTTTAAAGTCCAAAAGACTCTATAACCTCTCAAATGTAAATTCTTTACATAGAAACAAAAATTAAGCTGGCACCACTGACTTACATCTGTAATCCTAACAACTCAAGAGCCTGAGATCTAAGAATCACAGCTCCCAGGCAGAAAATTCAATCAGACTCTTATCTCCAATAAGCCAACAAAAGGCTAGAAATTGAGCTGTGGCTGGTAGAGAGAGCCAGCTATGGGTGAAAAAGCTAAGGGACAGCACTCAGGCCCTGAATTCAAGCCCAACTACTGGTACAAACAAACGAACACCAAAAAAATGGTTAAAAAAAAAAAAGGAAACAAAAAGTACACCATCACATTAATAGTGCTCTGATGTGATTTAACAGAAGTCCAAGAATTACTTAGAAGCCTTTTACACAAAACCAGTAGTATACTTTTAGTTTACAGATGCGGCAACAACTCTGATAGTCAGTGCAATTTGCTCAACATCATACAACAAATATAGCCAATACTCAAAAGAACTTGGACTAAAAGATCTCTGGTCATTTACAAAAGAAGCAAGCTGAGACCTCCTGCAGATCTCAACATTAGTGGTGGCTAATTCAAATTCATCCAAAGAAACCAGAGGGAAGAAAAATGTATATAGTCTACAGATGTTCAAACCTCCTCAGCTTAACCCACACACATTTTTCTCTGCTTCTATTACTGGGTGGGGTTAGAAAGTCATGGACTTTGCTCACATGAAGAACTCTATTTTCTTTCTTTCTTTTTTTTTTTTTTTTGTCGGTCGAGGGGCTTGAACTCTGGGCCTGGGCGCTGTCCCTCAGCTCTTCAGCTCAAGGCGAGCGCTCTACCACTTGAGCTACAGCGCCACTTCCGGTTTTCTGGTGGTTTATTGGAGATAGGAGTCTCACGGTCTCTCCTGCCTGGGCTGGCTTTGAACCGCGATCCTCAGATCTCAGCCTCCTGAGTAGCTAGGATTACAGGCATGAGCCACCAGCGGCCGGCTCTATTTTCTTTCTTTCTTTCTCTCTTTCTTTCTCTTTCTTCTTTCTTTCTTTCCTTCTTTCTCTTCTTCCCTCTCTCCCTCTCTCCTCTCCTGCTCTTTCTCTCTCTCTCCCTCCCTCCCTCTCTCCCCTAGTCCTGGGGCTTGAACTTAGGGCCTAGGCACCATCCCTGAGCTTTTTTTGCTCAAGACTAAGTACTCTACCACTTTGAGTCACAGCTCCACTTGCAGCTTTTTGTGGGGTAAATTGGAGATAAGAGTTTCCCAGATCTTTAGATCTCAGCCTTTTGAGTAGCTAGGATAAGAGGCATGAGCCACAGGCACCCAGGGAATAATGGGCTTATAATACATGCTTTTTTTTTGGGGGGGGGGGGTCCGGCCGTGGGGCCTGAACTCTGGGCCTGGGCGCTGTCCCTTAGCTCTTCAGCTCAAGGCTAACGCTCTACCACTTGAGCCACAGCGCCACTTCTGGCTTTTTTTCTTTTTCTTATGTAGTTCTGAAGAATCGAACCCAGGGCCTCATGCATGCAAGGCAAGTGCTCTACCACTGAGCCACCTTCCCAGCCCCTAATACATGCTTTTTAATGACATAATACTTTTTCTTAAATTGTCTTGCCCAGGAAGGTCCCAAATTTCTAGGCTCAATCAATTCTTAGCCTTCTCAGTAACTTAGACTACATGTGCACCAACAGGCCCAATGACCTAACTTCTTAATCACTGTTCTATATCTGTAGAGACTGAATACAAAATAAAAGTTCAGGGGCTGGGAAGGTGGCTCAGTGGTAGAGCGCTTGCCTTGCATGCATGAGGCCCTGGGTTCGATTCCTCAGCACCACATAAGCAGGAAAAAAAAGCTGGAAGTGGCATTGTGGCTCAAGTGGTAGAGTGCTAGCCTTGAGCTGAAGAGCTGAGGCACAGCGCCCAGGCCCAGAGTTCAGGCCCACGACTGAACCCAAAAAATAAAAATAAATAAATAAATAAATAAAAATAAAAGCTCAGAAGTCACTTGTAGAAGGTGTGGCTCAAAGTACATTAACAAGGATATGGGAGCCAAAATCCCTAGGTCCAATCAGGGAGTTGTCTGGTCACTCTTCCTTAAAGAGATCACAGAATCTCTCCAACTCTTTCTGTGGTTCCTTAATTCTCTCCTCCTCCAATTTAAGCACTAATGGTCTATTATTAAAATCAATCCATTACATAAGTTATTCCCTCTCCTACCTCACTCTTCCTTGGGATCACAAAATGCAAGTACTGGTTAAATACAATTTGGGTCCCTTCCTGTACCTAGAAATGGCAGCTAAACACACACCATGCAGATTACTCTCTTGGAATGCCCCTGATCTCGGGCAGGCCCTTTCTGTGACTGCCTATCCAGGCACACTTCCCAGTCTCTTTACTCTCTCAAGCCTCACATGAAGACTTCATGCCTTCTTCTCTCTCCTTAAATTGTCCTCTCTCATTGATCAAGATGCACTGTACTCATAAACTACTTTGTTGAATGACATCTCCTGTATACAACTACATAAAAATAATAAAAATATTTTTAAAAATCTCTCCTTTTTTCCTCTGGCCTCATATACAGCTAATTTTCTTGCATTCTATTTCACTGAAAAAACAAGAAAATTAGAACCTTTTTAACATGTTCCTACCATTTTGCCAATTACCTATTTGCTTCTATGCCTATATGCTTTGCCTTCCCTGCTGTTATTATGAAGAACTATGTATTCCCATGTATGGATCAAATTCCATCTCCTTTCACCTCCTCAAAGACTAGGCTCAGACAGTTCGTTCCCTCTTAGGAAGTTCAATCTTCCCCTCTTCACTCATTTTAGGCTACCCAATCCATCAGCAGCCAGCTCTCCGATCTTGGAGAGAAAACCTCAACTCACAACCCATATCCACCATTCTATTACTTATTTACACAAACACACACCTACCCAGGTCTTCACAGCAAACTCCTTAAGAGATTTCTACATTCCTCTCCTCCCATTCCTTACATTCTGTTTTCTTTCCCTTTCTTTCCTTCCCTCTTCCTTTCTTCCTGGAGGTCGTGGGAAGTGTTCAGGCAAGATGTCATCATGTCGCCCAGATGCCTGTGCTCAAGTGATCCCTCTAGTCCTCCCACCTGCTCAGTCTCCTGTGTGTCCTCCTTTTGCCACAGTCTGTTCTGAACACAGAGACTAATGATTTTGTCATACTAATTCTCTTTTGGAAGCCCTCAGTGGCTTCTCATCTCACATGTGGTTCAGCTCTAAGTCCTATAATGGTCTCTCAGGGAGACTGAGCTCTCTCACTTCTGCTCTTGCCACTGACTCCTCATTCAATCTAGTCCTATCACAGTGACTTCCTTCCTACTATCCCAGTGTTAAGAATATTCCTGCCTCAGTGCCTTTTTATTTGTTTGTTCCACTGCCTGCTACAGCTGTTCTATCAGATATGGGACTTCATTATTTTCTTCAGGTCATTGTCACATTGTCACCATACTCCCCAATTCAAAACATTACCCTATCCCCAGTATATTCTCTTCTCTTCCTCTCTGATTTGATTTCTCTACATTATACTTTATATAAACCAGGTGGATGAATATATAAATTGTTATTCTCTACATCACTGAAGGGATACTTTGGGGAAAGGAGTAAAAAGATAAACTTGTAAGAAAAAAAAAAATAAAAGATGCTTCTGAGCACTTACTTACCTGCTCCCCTACTGGGAGGGTCTCGGGCTGGGGGAGGTGGCCTATTACTCAGTAAAGAGGAGGCAGAGGTGGGTGGAGGAGGCGCTAGGCTTCTCACAGGCCCTGGTGTCTTCCTATGCAAAGAATTGTGTCTCTGTGGCAGCTCAGGGGCTGACTCATTAGTGGGACTGGAGGGTCCATTGGGGACCCCAGGAGGCTGGCGGTAAGGCGGAGGAGGTGGAGCCAGAGACTGGCCACTTGGTCCTGTTCTGATATTCACAGGGGAAGGAGGTGGCTTGACTGAGGGTGGAGCAGGAGGTCCCTCTCGACCAGGGTGGAGCCTCTGTCCAGGAGTTGGAGGCAAGGGTTTCTCTCTGTTGTAGGCTGGGGCTTTGTTGCTATGCATAGGCAGGGGTGTAGGGGGTGCATTGGCTCGCCGCCCTGGAGGTGGTGGGGGAGGAGCAGAGGAGCTGTGCTTCATGCCCGTACTACTGGTAGTATTGGGCCGAGAAAGGTCCGGCAAAGAGGGTCTCTGCATCCGGGGCAGTTCTGCAAGAGAAGCTCTGCTGCTGTCTGTATCATCTTGAGGACGTCCGCTGGCTGCAGACACCGGAGGCCTTGGCGCAGCTGCTCGAGAACTGGGGATCTGTAGTGCTGGCTTACCAGCTGGGTTCTCTATAAATACACCAGACAACACAGGTCAACAGAACTGAAGATGTGTCAGTCTCTCCACACCTGATCTCCTTAGTACAAGGGCACAGCAGTAGGGGAAGTAACTGCATAGTTTTGGGCCAATTTGTTTGCTGAGCTGGAAATGCATACAAAGCACTACCCACTCTACTAATGAGTTACATCTTAAACTCTAGTCCTGAATTTTAATCTGGTTTCACGCTCAGAGTCCATTAAAAAATATTACTCACACATATACACGTTTTCACATTTATTTATTTTGCTAGTACCAGGGTTTGAATTCAGGGCCTTGAACTTGCTTGACTGGGACTCTATCACTTAAGCTATGCTTTCAGCCAATTCTTTTTTTTCTCTCAGTCATGGGGCTTGAACTCTGGGCCTGGGTGCTGTCCCTGAACTTTTCAGTTCAAGGTGAGCGCTCTACCATTTGAGCCACAGTGCCACTTCCAGTTTTCTGGTGGATAATTGGAGATAAGTTTCATGGACTTTCCTGCCCTGGCTGGCTTTGAACTGTGATCCTCAGATCTTACCTCGGGATTAGCTAGGATGATAGGCATAAGCCACTGGTGCCAGGCTTTCCAGTCAATTTTTTGAAGCTTGAACTCTAGGTTTCACACACCCACTCAGCTTTTGTTGTTGTTGTTGGTCATGGGGCATGAACTCTGGGCTTGAGTGCTGTCCCTCAGCTCTTCGGCTCAAGACTAGCTTGCTACCACTTGAGCCACAGTGCCACTTCCAGCTTTTTCTGTTTATGTGGCGCTGATGAGGAATCAAACCCAAGGCCTCATGCATGCAAGGCAAGCACTCTACCACCGAGCTACTTTCCCAGCCCCAGCTTTTTTACTCATAGCTGTCACTCTACCACTTGAGCTACAGCTTCACTTCTGGCTTTTTGCTGGTTAATTTGAGATCAGGGTCTCAGTTTGTCTGTCTAGGCTGGCTTCAGATCTCAGCTTCCTGACTAGCTAGGATTATGGATATTGAGTCATCAGTATCCAGTGTCAGCTCAGCTTTTTGTTGGTTAATTGGAGATGGAGTCTTCCAGACTTTTTATGCCTGGACTAGCTTTGAACCTCAAGTCTCCTGATCTCAGCCTCCTGAGTAGCTTAAGTAACTATGATTATTATTATTAACTCTAGCCATCATGCTGTGTAGACTACTAACACTTTTTCTTTCTAGATGAAGGCATGTATCTCCATATTCCCTACCCTTCACCTTTATCAACATTCTATTCTCTACTAAGTTCGTTTTCCATCTCAATTTAAGTGAAATCACACGTTTGCCTTTCTGTGAGCCTAGCTTACTTCACTCAACATAATATCCTCCAGGTTTATTCAAGTTGTCACAAATGACAAAAATTCCTTCTGGTTTTGTTGTTGTTGTTTTTTGCTTTTGTTTTTGTTTTTTTCTGGTCATGGGGCTTGAACTCTGGGCCTGAACACTGTCCCTCAGCTCTTCAGTTCAAGGCTAGTGCTCTACCACTTGAGCCACAGCGCCACTTCCAGTTTTCTGAGTTGTTTATTGGAGGTAAGAGTCTCACAGACTCTTTTCCTGCCCGGGCTGGCTTTGAACTATGAACCTCAGATCTCAGTCTCCTGAGTAGCTAGGATTAAGGCATGAGCCACTGGTGCCTGGCAGAAATTCCTTCTGTTTAAAGGCTGAATAATGTTTTTTGTTTGTTTTGATTGGTTGTTTGTGGTGCTTAAATTCAAGCTCTGGGCATCGTCCCTGAGTTTTTTCACTCAAGACTAGTGCTCTATCACTCTGAACCACAGCGCCATTTCCAGTTTTCTGGTGGTTAATTGGAGTTAAGAGTCTCACAGACTTTTTCCTGCTCAGGCTGACTTTGAACCATGATCCTCAGATCTCAGCCTCCTGAGTAGCTAGGATTATAGTCGGGAGCCACTGGGGCCCAGCTAATAATGTTCTACTTCATATACTCTTATTTTGCACTGTAATTCTGTCTCTGCTCCCATCAATTTCTCCTCCCTTTAGCCAGTTATTAACCCAGGAAAGTCCACTTGGGACAAATCAGAATCTAATGTGCTTCGGAAATATCCTGGGGAAGTACTTATCAGATACCTGGGCTGTCCTTGGCTCCCACAGGCCGGAGCTTCGGCACTCCTCCTTGGAAGAGCCCTCCCTTGAGCTGCACAGCAGCGGCTCCAGAGCCGTAACCACCACTGCTTCCTTTGGGCTCTGGAAAGTATACCATTAGGATATTCATTTCATAAGCATTGAGATGATGACCAAGTCAACCCTTCCTCTATGTGGGCTTTAAATTGCAAACAAATCAATTCTGCTTTTTTTGTTGTTGTTGCTGTTGTTTGTCGGTTGTGGGGCTTGAACTTTAAGCCTAGGTGCTGTTCCTCAGCTCTTCAGCTCAAGGTGAGCACTCTACCACTTGAGCCACAGTTCCACTTCTGATTTTCTGCTGGTTAATTGGAAATAAGAGTCTCATAGACTTTCCTGCCTGGGCAGGCTTTGAAGCATGATCCCTCAGATCTCAGCCTCCTGAGTAGCTAGGATTACAGACATGAGCCACCAGTGCCCAGCCTTTTTTTTTTTTTGCCTTTGTATTAAATAAAGTTAGGCTTTGCTCTTCTCCATCTCCATGTGGGGATGAAACTTCCAGTGTGATGAAAGAAATAGAAGCTAACCTTTTCTTACTTAAGGTGAAAGGAAAGCAATGAACAAAAGTGTCAGATACTGAGTTCAAGTCTCAATTTCAGACTAAAAAAAAAAAGAGAGAATGAAATGTTCAGAGCCAGGCACCTGTGGCTCACTCCTGTAATCCTAGCTACCCAGGAGGCTGAGATCTGAGGATCATGGTTCAAAGCCCAGACAGGAACATCCATGAGACTCTATTTTTTTTGTCCATAGTGGGGCTTGAACTCTGGGCCTGGGCACTGTCCCTCAGCTTTTCAGCTCAAGGCTAGCTCTCTACCACTTGAGCCACAGCGCCACTTCCAGCTTTTTCTGCTTATGTGATGCTGAGGAATCAAACTCAGGGTCTCATGTATGCAAGGAAAGCACTCTACCACTGAGCCACCTTCCCAGCCCCTCCATGAGACTCTAATGTCCAATAAATCACCAGAAAAATGGAAGTGGCACTGTGGCTCATGTGGCAGAGCGCTAGCCTTGAGCTGATGAGGGACAGCGCCTAAGCCCAGAGTTCAAGCTCCAAAACTGACACACAAAAAAGTTTCTAGGAAGGGCTGGGAAGGTGGCTCAGTGGTAGAGCGCTTGCGTTGCATTCATGAGGCCTTGGGTTTGATTCCTCAGCACCACATAAGCAAAAGAAAAAAGCCAGAAATGGTGCTGTGGCTCAAGTGGTAGAGCGCTAGCCTTGAGCTGAAGAGCTGAGGGACAGCGCCCAGGCCCAGAGTTCAAGCCCCACGACCGACAAAAAAAAAAAAAAAAAAGTTTCTAGGAATGTAGTGGCATCCCCAAAGAATAGCCAAGGATAGACCCCAACAAGTACTAGCTACAGTAGAGATAGAAGTCTTAATTCTGAGACTGCTTCTCTTGGATTAAGAAGAAACATCTAAGGTATTCAAATGAGCAGATGGGAAGAAAGCCAAAGGACTCAGCAATATGAATTAGACTATCTGCAACTATGAAAACCTGTTGGGCAAGGGGGACAAGGAATGTGATAGAGATGAAACTAATTGGAATATAGCATAAACACGTAGAAATAATATATACATGAAATAGTATATAATATGCATTATAGTACATATATTGTATATATTATATACTATACATATATATAATATATACTATAATACTGATTATAGTATATATTATATATAATATAATAAACATAAACTAAAAAAACAAAAACAAAAATGTAGCGTTTCACTAGAAAATAAAGCTTAAGGGCCAGAAAGGTAGCTCAGTGGTAGAGTGCCTGACTTGTATGCACGAGGCCCTGGGTTCTATTCCTCAGCACCACATAGGCAGAAGAAGCCAGAAGTGGCACTGCAGCTCTAGTGGTAGAGCTGAAGAGCTCAGGGACAGAGGCCCAGGCCCAGAGTTCAAGCCCCATGACCAACAGAAAAATAAATTAAATAAATAAAACTTAGGGCTGGGAAGATGGCTCAGTGGTAGAGCGCTTGCCTTGCATGCATGAGGCCCTGGGTTCGATTCCTCAGCATCACATAAACAAAAAAGAAAAAAGCCAGAAGTGGCGTTGTGGCTCAAGTGGTAGAGTGCTAGCCTTGAGGTGAAGAGCTGAGGGACAGCGCCCAGGCCCAGAGTTCAGGCCCCAGGACTGGACAAAAAAATAAGATAAAATAAAAATAAAGCTTAGACTCACTCTCAATAGCAGGTGCACTGCGGTCATTACTGTTGGTCACCTTCTTCAGTTTGGTCCCTTTGCAAATGTCTTGTAAGAGGGCACCTCGGTTCCGCTGCTCATCCCTACTCAGCTTGGGCTGTTCTGTGTTTGCCTGGAGGAAGGAGGAAATGTTTACGTTCACCGTAAGGAGTTACTTTCCTCACAAGCTTTGGATAAAAAAATTAAAGCAAACTGTAACGTAATCAGATATATGTGCAAATAGTGCTGTGAACGTGTATGCCAAATCCTCTGTGTTTTTTGCTCCTGTTCTACCTTCTGTGAAAAGCACAGCTCTCCCTCCTATTCATGAGCCTCTGCTAATACTGATCGTCTATATGCTAAGCTTTGTGTGTTGGACACTCACTTGGTACATATCACCATTATCAAAGCAAACTATTATTGAGCCTCTGCTATGCTTCGGGTATGTGCTAAAGAAGCATATTTACATGACTTCGTGTAACTCTTTTAGTATTTCTCTAAAAAAGGCATCACTGGGTAAACTAGGTATGGTGGCTTAGACCTATAATCTAGCTACTTGAGAGGCTGAGAATAAATTCACAAACCCCTTTGGTGTGCACCTGTCATCCCAAGCTACTGAGATTGGAAGGATCAAAGCTCCAGATCAGCAGGAGCAGAAAAGTCTGTGACACTATTTCGACAGAGGGAAGCTAAACATGGTGGTACTGGCCTATGATCCCAGTAACTAAAAGTAGGTGAATCACAACCCAGGCACAAGATTGAGTGAGAAGTGAGACCCTATCCTAAAAAAATCCAGAGAAAAACAGGACTGAAGATGTGGCTCAGAGATACTGCACTGCACTAGCCTAGCATGCACAAAGCTCTGTGTTCAAACCCTAAAACTGTCAATTAAAAAAAACAGTCCTTACTCTCATTTGGAAGGTGTGAACCAGAAGAACCCAACGTTAACAGTGATTTTTTTTTTTTTTTTTTTTGCAAGTCCTGGGCTTTAACTCAAGACCTGGGCACTGTCCCTGAGCTTCTTTTGCTCCAAGTTAGCACTCTACCACTTGAACCACAACACTACTTCCAGATTTTTCTATTCATGTGGTACTGAGAAATCAAACCCAGGGCTTAATGCATGCTAGGCAAGCACTCTAGCACTAAGCCACATTCCCAGCCCCTTCAATAGTGATTCTAAAACATGTGTGTGTGTGTGTGCATGTGCGTGCTAGAGTTTGAATTTAGGGCTTAGGGCCTGCTCAGCATGTTTGCTAACTGGCACTCTACCTCTTAAGCTACACCTCCTACCCATTTTTTGTTATTTTGGAAATGGAGTTTTATGGACTTTTATGCCTAAGTTGGATTTAAATTGTGATCCTCCAGATCTTAGCCTCCTGAGTTGCTATTATTACAAGTATCATCTAATACTCCAATCTTATCTAACATACCCTGCTCTGTCCCTATTATTTTTATCTATCCTCTACACGTTATAAAATAGATTGATATTATTCTCATTCCAAAAACAAGGAAATGAAGGTTTAAGAAGGTTAATGTTACAGCGTCAATAAACACAGAGATTTAAATACTGGTGTGATTGCCTCAAAGTCGCCTGTATTTTCTTTTCTTTTCTTTTTTTTTTGGGGGGGGGGTCGGGTTATGGGGCCTGAACTCTGGGCCTGGGCACTGTCCCTCAGCTCTTTAGCTCAAGGCTAGCGCTCTACCACTTGAGCCACAGCACTACTTCTGGCTTTTTTCTTTTTGCTTATGGCTTATATGGTGCTCAGGAATCGAACCCAAGGCCTCATGCATGCAAGGCAAGTACTCTACCACTGAGCCACCTTCCCAGCCCTGTCACCTGTATTTTCTATTCTCCTGGCCATCCCTTTCATAAGTCATGTCTCTTTTCAGGTCTTTCATATTCCTCTTAAATGTCTTTCCCAGAGTTCTGAGCCTCAGCCTCCATCTAAATGTTTCTGAGTAAACCCCATCAGTCTGAGAATGTACATACCACAAATAAGCCTCAAAACCTCAAATCCTTTTTTTTTTTTTTTCATCAGTCATGGGCTTGAACTCTGGGGCTTGGGCACTGTCCCTGAGCTCTTCAATTCAAGGAGAGCACTCTACCACTTTGAACCACAGCGCCACTTCTGGTTTTCTGGTGGTATTTATTGGAGATAAGAGTCTCACAAACTTTCCTGACCAGGCTAGCTTTGAACGGCAATCCTCAGATCTCAGCCTCCTAAGTAGCTAGGATTACAGATGTGAGCCACCGGCGCTGGCCTCAAATCTTTTTATTTTGTCTACTTTTCTCACCTTAACTTAATTTCTATATGTGCCAACACTTACAGGACAGTTCCAAATTAATATCCTATATGTACCTACAATATATCCTATCATATTCCAGAATAGGAAGACTAAAAATATCATGTATTTGTTAAATCTTATACAATTTACAAGTGTAGAACCTTTTTTTTTTTTTTTTTTGTTGGTCGGGGGGGTGTAAACTCTGGGCCCGGGCACTATCTGTCAGCTCTTTAGCTCAAGGCTAGCGCTCTACCACTTGAGCTATGGTGCCACTTCAGCCTTTTCTGCTTATGTGGTGCTAAGGAATTGAATCCAGGGCCTCATGCATGCAAGGCAAGCACTCTATCACTGAGCCACCTTCCCAGGCCAAGTGTACAACTTTTTAAACTAAATAATCAGTAACATTTTTTGGAAGCCTTTAAGAATTATTCTAAGCTGGGTGCCAGTGGCTCAAACCTGTAATCCTAGCCACTCAGGAGGCTGAGATCTGAGGATCTCAGTTTAAAGCCAGCTCTGCAGAAAAGTCTGTGAGACTCTTTTTTTTGGGGGGCGGGGGGGGCGGTTCCAGTTGTGGGCCTGAACTCTGGGCCTGGGCGCTGTCCCTCAGCTCTTCAGCTCAAGGCTAGCGCTCTACCACTTGAGCCACAGCGCCACTTCCAGCTTTTTTTTTTCTGCTTATGTGGTGCTGAGGAATCTAACCCAGGGCCTCATGTATGCAAGGCAAGCGCTCTATCACTGAGCCACCTTCCCAGCCCCCCAGGGTTGTTTTTTATTTGTGTTTTTTTTTTAATTGTATTTCTCATCAGTAAAAAAGGGATAGACAAGCTGGGCACCGGTTGCTCACACTTATCATCTTAGCTATTCAGGAGGCTGAGAACTGAGGATAGCATGCAAAGCTAGCCCAGGCACGAAAGTCTGTGAAACTCTTTCTCCACTAACATACCAAATAAGCCAGAAAGAGCAGTGGCTCAAGTGATATAGCACTAGCCCCAAGCAAAAGAAACTCAGAGACATAGGCCAGGTCCTGAATTCAAGCCCCAGCATTGGCAAACACAAAAAAAATGAATGGAGTCAGGCACCAGTGGCTCACGTCTTTAATCCTAGCTACTCAGGAGGATGAGATCTGAGGATAGCGGTTCAAAGCCAGCCTGGGCAGGAAAGACCATAAGACTCTTATCTCCAATAAATCACCAGAAAACTGGAAGTGGCGCTGTGGTTCAATGTGGTAGAGTGCTCACCTTGAGCTAAACACCTCAGGGACAGTGCCCAGGCCCAGGGTTCAAGTCCCAGGACCGAGAATGGATAGTTGACTAAATGAGATATGGATAACAACTGATTAACTTTTGGAAAAGTATAAAACCCCTACTACATGACATGCTATGAAATAACTTCAAGCACGATAATATTATTTAAGTGCAAAAAATCAAAACCAGGCTGGGAATGTGGCTTAATGGTGGAGTGCTTACCTAGCATGCATGAAGCCCTGGGTTCAATTCCTCAGGATCACATACACAGAAAAGGCCGGAAGTAGTGCTATGGCTCAAGCTATACAGTGCTAGCCTTGAGCAAAAGAAGCTCAGACAGTGCCCAGGTCCTGAACTAAAAAGCCCAGGACTGGGGGGGAAGGGGAGAGACTAAAACACAACATTATTTCCTATTCAGCTAGTAAACACCAGTGACTGAAGACACTGTAAGCCTCATATGGTAGAGGCCACTGTTCACTTCTTTCTAGTATGTCTGGCATGCTAAAGAAGCTCAAATAATGGGCAGAATGAATAACTACCCTATGGTGATCATAAGAATTCAGAAAAATAAACACACTTACACTAAGAGAAATTGGTATGCTTTTTATAAAAAGTGATTTTAAGCCAGTACCAGTGGCTCATGCCTATAATCCTAGCTACTCAGGAGGCTGAGATCTGAGGATCGCAGTTCAAAGCCAACCTAGGCAGGAAAGTCCGTGACTCTTATCTCCAATAAATACCACCAGAAAACCAGAAGTGGTGCTGTGGCTCAAGTGGTAGAGATAAGGGACATTGCCCAGCCCCAGAGTTCAAGCCACATGACCGACAAAACAAACAAACAATTAAAAAAACATGTATCAGAAGCCCTTGGGCTGGGAAGGTGGCTCAGTGGTAATGTTTGCCTTGCATGCATGAGGCCCTGGATTTGATTCCTTAGCACTACAGAAGCAGAAAAAGCTGGAAGTGGCACTGTGGCTCAAGTGGTAGAGTGCTAGCCTTGAGCTGAAGAGCTCAGGGACAGAGCCCAGGTCCAGAGTTCAGGCCCCACCACCAGTGGCGGGGGGGGGGGGGGGGGGGGGGGGGAAGCAGCCCTTAAAAAAGCCATGTGCCAGTGCCTCATGACTGTGAGACTCTTATCTCCAGTAAACTACTCACAAAAAGTGGTAGAACACTAGCCCTGCACACAAAGAGGCTTAGGGACAGCGCCAGGCCCTGAGTTCAAGCACCAGTACAGGGGAGGAAAAAAAAAACCCTTAAAAAGTCTGCACACATCAGGCACCAATGGCTCACACTTGTAATCCTACCTAGTAAGGAGGCTGACATCTGAAGCTTGAGGTTTGAAGCCAGCTTGGGCAAGAAAAGTCCATGAAACTTTTACCTGTCCAATTAACCATCAAAAAGCCAGAAATGGAGTTATGGCTCAATTGGTAGAGTACAAGACTTGAGCATAAGAGCTCAGGGGCAGTGCAGGCTGTGAGTTCAAGCCCCATAACTGGCATGCACACATGCGCCCACGCACATGCATGCACGTGCACACACGCGCACACACACACACACACACAGCCTCTTCAAGTGATCCTCTTGAGTAGCTGGGACTACAGGTACACACCACTGTGAATATAGGAATTAATTTTTTTTTTTTTTTTGCCAGTCCTGGGGCTTGAACACAGGACTTGGACACTGTCCCTGAGCTTCTTTTGCTCAAGGCTAGCACTCTACCACTTGAGCCATGCCCCCAGCCTTTTCTGCTTTACTTTTCAACAAACTTTCATAGTTAGCCCAGCAAGCATGGACTATGCCCTCCTATTTACTCTTTCCTAGTAGCTGGGATAACAGGCATGTACCACCTTGTCTAGCTTCTTTTAATGGCTGAGACAGGTCTTGTCAACTTTTCAATCTGCTTCCTGAGCAGCTAGCATTATTGGCATGAGCCACCACACCCAGCCTCTTTTTCTATTGCATTTTCTAATCTTTCCACAGATATTTTTAGTGAAGTATAAGTTTTTGTTTGTTTTGTTTTGTTTTTTGTCAGTCGTGGGGCTTGAACTCTGGGCCTGGGTGCTGTCAGCTGTTCAGCTAAAGGCAAGCACTTGAGCCACAGCGTCACTTCTGGTTTTCTGGTAGTTAATTGGAGATAAGAATTTCATGGACTTTCTTGCCAGGGCTGGCTTTGAACTGCGATCCTCAGATCTCAATCTCCTGAGTAGTTAGGATTACAGGTGTGAGCCACCGGCACCCAACCAAAGTATAAGTATTTAAAAATATTATTCCTCAAGACTGGGCATAGTGGCACAATTCTTCCCCTTCACCCCCCACTCCCCGCCCCCCCCCCGCCCCCGATCGTGAGGCCTGAACTCTGGGCCTGAGTGCTGTCCCTCAGCTCTTCAGTTCAAGGCTAGCATCTTACAACTTGAGCTACAGCACCACTTCTAGCTTTTTCTGCTTGTGTGGTGCTGAGGAATTGAACCCAGGGCAGCCTTATGCATGCAAGGCAAGCACTCTATCACTGAGCCACCTTCCTAGCTCCAGTGGCACAATTTTATAATCATAGCACTCAGGAGGCTGAAAGAGGAAGACAAGTGGGAGGCTATCATGAGCTAGCTACATAGTAAGTTCAAGGGAAGCCAGGGCTACATTGTCACACTGTCCCCAGAAATGAAAACAAAACAAAACACAATTAAAGAATAAGCTCTCCATATCTTTTTTTTTTTTTTGCCAGTCCTGGGGATTGAACTCAGGGCCTGGGCACTGCCCCTGAGCTTCTTTTGCTCAAGGTTAGCACTCTACTGCTTGAGCCACAGCACAGTCAACCAATGAATTACATGCCCAGCCCCACCAATTTTAAAGATGGAGGCCTCACTGCATTGCCTAGGTTAGTCTTGAACTTCTGGCTTCAAGTAATTATCCCAGTTTAACTTCTCAGGAAGCTAAAGTGAGCACCACTATACCTTGTTAGTGGTGAATTCAATTTTCTAGATATACTACTGTATCTGTAGGAAAGTCAAAAAAGTAAGCAAAGGTAGTAGATGTCATCCGACTACCTACCTGATTAAAGGTGGGAGGTGGAGGAGGGCCAGGTGGGGGTGGAGGGGGAGGAGGAATTGGCATCCTTGCCCTGCTCGCAGTTGGCACTGCTCTCTCTCCGTCTTTATTTGCAGCTGTAGGTCACTCATATACCTGTAAAAAAAAAAAAAAAAAAGCCAGAAATTCTTAAGAACAAATTTTAACATTAGAGACACTTATGTTGGGCGCTGGTGGCTCATGCCTGTAATCCTAGCAATTCACAAGACTGAGATCTGAGGATCACAGTTCAAAACCAGCCTGGGCAGGAGAGGCCGTGAGACTCTTCTCTCTCTCAATTAGCCACCAGAAAACTGGAAGTGGCTCTTTGGATCAAGTGATTGATCACTGTCCTTCAATTAAAGAGCCCAGGCCCAGAGTTCAAGCCCCACAACCGACAAAAAGAAAAAACAAAACATTAGAGACACTTAGTGTCCAGGAAGTCTACAGGACAGGCATGACTGAGAGCCTAAGCATCTCATCACCTAGATCCAAATCAGGGCAATTAATAAATATTCTAGGCTATGTGGAAAACATCCAATCTATTAGATTTTTTTTCCCTTATGGTGCTGGGAATCAAACTCAGGGATTTATGTATATCAGGAACTCCAATCCAACTCTGATTTTCTTGGTGGTGCTGAAGTTTGAGCTCAGAGTCTTAAGTACTCCACTACTTGAGTCATACCTTTTATCTTTAATGAGTAAACTTTGTATTTTAGAGAAGCTTTAGGTTCACAGCAAAACTAGGCAAAAAGCTCAGAGAATTTAAATATAACTGTCCCCACATATGCACATAATCACCTACCAAAATGGATCATTAGTTACAATCAATGAATCTATAAGTGGTCCATTATTACCCAAGGTTCATAATTTACATGGGGTTCACTTGATGTGACAAATGTACACAATAAGCTATATCTACTGTTCTTTTTTTCTACTGTTCTGTAGTATCATACTGAAGACTATTCTATAAATCCTACGCTCTCTGCCTTTCCCCACTCATGCCTAAAATAGTCCTTGGTCTTTTTACTTTCTTCAAGGTTTTCCTTTTCCAAACTGTCACAGTTAAATTATACACTATGTTATATTTTTACAATTATCTTTTTTACTTCTCTCCGTATCTTTTTTTTTTTTTTTTGGCCAGTCCTGGGGCTTGAACTCAGAGCCTGGGCACTGTCCCTGAACTTGTTTTTTTGCTCACAGCTAGCATTCTACTACTTGAGCCACAGCGCCACTTCCAGCTTTTTCTGTTTATGTGGTACTGAGGAATCGAACCCTGGGCTTCATGCTTACTAGGCAAGCACTCTACCACTAAGCCACATTCCCAATCACTCTCTCCATATCTTTTCATATGACTTGATAGTTCCCTCTCCCCAGCTGATGTTGTGGAATGAACAAGGGACTTTGTGTATACAAGACAAGCACTGGATCAATGAATTACATGCCCAGCCCCACCAATTTTAAAGATGGAGGCCTCACTGCATTGCCTAGGTTAGTCTTGAACTTCTGGGTTCAAGTAATTATCCCAGTTTAGCTTCTCAGGAAGCTAAAATGCGCACAACCATATCAGCTCTTCCTTGTTAGTGGTGAGTTCCATTTTCTAGATATATGACTGTCTGTTTATCCATCTCTACTGAAGGATATCCTGGTGGTGTCCAAATTTTGACAATTATAGATAAAGATGCTGCAAGCATTCCTGTGAGGATTTCTGAGTAGATGGAAGTCCTAAGCACATTTGGGTTAATATCAAGAATTCTGACAGTTGGATCACATGCTACGAGTATGTTACTTCTCTAAGAACCTGCCAAATCTCTTCTCTAGTGGCCATATCATTTTGCATTTTGGCCACCAATGAATAAGAATCCCTGTTGATGCATGTCCTTGCCAGCATTTGGTGTTTTGGATTTTGGTCCCTTCAATAGGCATGTAATGGCATCTTGAACTAATCCCCAATTCTCTAATGACATGACTAAAAATTGTACATCTCTTTACTGTTTATCTGCCATGCATACATATTCTTTGGTGAGGCATCTGTATTTTTTACCTTTTTGAGAGGGAAGGGATGCTGGGAAATGAACACATACTAAGCCTGTGCTCGCTCTATAAATATGTTATATTTTTACTCCTATGAACCAGGTTCTTTTCTTTCCTTCCTTTTTTATTTTTCTGTGTGTGTGCGCCAGTTCTGGGGCTTGAACTCAGAGTCTGGGTGCTGTCCCTGAGCTTTTTTGCTCAAGACTAGCACTCTAGCACTTGAGCCATAGCTCTACTTTTGGCTTTTTTGGTAGCTAATTGGAGATAAGAGTCTCACAGACTTTCCTGTCCAAGCTGGCTTTGAACTTCATTCCTCAGATTTCAGCCTCCAAAGTAGCTAGGATTGCAGGCTTGAGATACCATCATTTACCTTTGTTCTGTTTCTTAATGTTGAGTTTTAAAAGATCTTTGTGTAACTGGGGTAACAGTTCTTTATTAGATTTGTCTTCTACAAGTATATTTCCCCTGTCTATGGCCTGTCCTCATTTTCTTTTTTTCTTTTTTTGCCAGTCCTCAACTTGACCTCAGGGCATGGACACTGTCCCTGAGCTTCTTTGGCTAGCACTCTACCACTTGAGCCACAAGAGCCACAAGCATCACTTCTGGCTTTTTCTGTGTATGTGGTACTGAGGAATTGAACTCAGGACTTCATGCAATCTAGGCAAGCACTCTAGCACTAAGCCACATTCCCAGCCCCCTTCTCATTTTCTTGACTTTGACTTTTTTTAGGGGGGCAGGGGGGCGAATATACTAAGGCTTAATTAAACTCAGGACATTGAGATTTTGCTCAGCTTTTTTCCTTGCTCTACTACTTGAACCACACCCACCAGTTCTAATACTTACAATCTTTTAGAACTATAAAAACCATTCTTAGCTTGTAGGCCATATAAAAACAAGCTATGGAACAGATGTGACTCAGGAGTTCACTGACACCTGGTATAGTTACACCCATCAAATCAATTAGATTGTAATTATCACACAAAAAGTGCCTTAGCAGGTCACAAAGTACCAACATTCTAATGTATGTAATTATCTAAGGGACGTGTGTGTGTGTGTGTGTGTGTGTGTGTGTGTGTGTGTGTGTGTGTGTGTGTGTGTGTGTGTGTGTGTGTGTGTGTGTGTGTGTGTGTGTGTGTGTGTGTGTGTGTGTGTGTGTGTGTGTGTGTGTGTGTACACCAGTTACGGGCTTGAACTCAGGGCCTGAGCTCTGTCTCTGGTCTTTTTTGCTCAAGGCTTGCAGTCTACCACTTTGAGCCACAGCTCCACTTCAGATTTTCTGGTGGTTAATTGGAGATGAGTCTCACCAAATTTTCCTGTCCCAGCTAGTTTCAAACCTGGAATCTCAGCCTCCTGAGTAGCTAGGATTACATGTGTGAGCTACCAGCACCTGGCAGCCTCCTATTATAATTTGTAAGTAATCTTCATTTCATAGATAAGGGGAAAAAACAGGGAACTGACTTACCCTAAGACATTAAAGTAGGGACCAAAGGAGGTTAGGGTGTGGCTCAAAAGGTAAAGTCCTTGCTAACATGCACAAGGTCCTAGGTTCAATCCTCATTCCTTGAGGAGACACCAGTGATTCACACCTATACTCTAGATATTCAGGAGGGTGAGATCTGAGGATCTCTGTTCAAAGCCAGTCAGCCCTGTAGGAAACACAAAAAAGGCAAAGTGGAGGTGTGGTTCAGAGTGTGGCAGAGCACCAGCTTTGAGTGGAAAAAGCTAAGGGACAGTAACCAGATCTTGGCACAAAAAAAAAAAAAGGAAAGAACAAAAAAATGTTTTTTTTTTTTGTCTACTCAGAAGATTAAGGCAGAAGAATCTAAATAAAACCTAAACGCAAGAGCAACAAGCACCTCCAAAATAGGTTTTGATTTTCCAAATCCCATGCTCACTTCAGCAGCACATAGAATAATGATACAAAAAAGATTAGCATAGTCCCCGAAGGAGGATGATATGCAGATTCGTGAAGGAGTTTCTTTTTACTTAAAAAGAAAGAAAGAAAGGAAAGAAGGAAGGAAGGAAGGGAGGGAGGGAGGGAGGGTAGGAGGGAGGGAAGGAAGAAAGGAAGGAAGGAAGGAAGGAAGGAAGGAAGGAAGGAAGGAAGGAAGGAAGGAAGGAAGGAAGGAAGGAAATCCAACCCCATTTAGAAGTCCTACTTCTTGATCTCAAAGAATGCAAGCAAAAAACAATGGTTCTCTTGAATTCAACTTACCAACAAGAAAAGCTCAAGATTACGTAATCAACCTCATCACTCAATCCACAGAAGTGCTTCAAAATCATATGAGTAATGAGTTCATGACATAGGAAAATATTCACAGATAGCCTCTGGTACATATGACAGACCATGTGTACCAAGCCATGCTGGAAAGTCAAACCAGCATATAACCCTAGTGCCACTAGGAAGAAAAAAACAAACAAGCAAGCAAGCGAGAGAGAGAGAGAGAGAGAGAGAGAGAGAGAGAGAGAGAGAGAGAGAGAGAGAGAGAGAAAGGAAGGAAGGAAGGAAGGGAGGGAGGAAGGAAGGAAGGCAGGCAGGCAGGCAGGCAGGCAAGAAAGAAAGAAAAGGAAAGAAAAGCCGGGCCCTGGTGGCTCACGCCTGTAATCCTAGCTACTCAGGAGGCTGAGATCTGAGGATCGAGATTGAAAGCCAGCCTGGGCAGGAAAGTCTGTGAAATTCTTATCTTCAATAAACGACCAGAAAATTGGAAGTGGCCCTGTAGCTCAAGTGGTAGAGTGCTCGCCTTGAGCTGTAGAGCTGAGGGATAGCGCTCAGGCCCAGAGTTCAAGCCCCACAACCGACCAAAAAAGAAAAAAAAAAAAAAGGAAAGAAAGAAAGGGAGGGAGGGAGGGAAGGAAGGAAGGGAGGGAGGGAGGAAGGAAGGGAGAGAGAAAGGGAGAGAGAGGTAGAGAGAGAGAGGGAGGGAGGGAAAGGAAAGAAGGATAGACGAAAGAAAGGAAAAGGAAAGGAAAAAAGAGAGGGGGAAGGGAGAAAGGGAGGAAGGGAGGATGGAAAGGAAAGGAGGAAAGAAAAGAGAGAGAAAGACATAAAGAGAAAGAAGAAAGAAAAAATGGCAAAAAAT